AATTGGAAACAAGATGCATTAATGTTTCCAATTACAGACAAGAGAAAGAAGATCCACCTTTAAAATGACCAGTATACCAGGGAAAGAGTTGGAAGTGGGGTCTCTGATTAGGACTGGAACAAAATGTCCCACATACCCCACAAACAAACAAACAAACAAATATAACTGGGAGCCCTGTAGATACCCAAGCCACATATCTGATTTAAGAGAAAATGAAATGAGTTCAATGAAAACAAGTTCAGCCTGGTGACTGTTCACACCTCCTTTCAAGGAAGCAGTATACGGTCTTCAGACCGCCCTAATGAGGTACAGATCTGTCGAGGGATTGCACATGGTGAAGAGGTGATGTCTAGGACCAGAAAACTGGCAACAGTAGAACTAACAAAGTGTCAGAAGTATGACAATTGTAAGTGGGAATAAAGTGGACAAAGGGAGGGATAAAAAAGATAGGAAGAAAAAAATTCAGGGGGTTGGAATAGGTCTGCCATGGCAATCCTGTTTGTGGATTTTAGGAAGTAGAATCAGGCTGTGCTTGTTTGGTGGTGGTGGTGAGGAGTAGAGGGGGCGATGAAGTAGGAAGCTGTGGAGATCTCCAGAGTTGAGGTCAGTGAAAAGTCCTGGAAAGAAACAGTTTAATGATCAGAGGTGGGATGATGGTCCAGGTAGATGGCAGGATGTGTACAAGACTCAGCCTGTGCCAGGTAGGGGATCAGCATGCCAGGCAACAAGCAGTGCCACCCTTATCAGCAGGTTTGAAAGCAAGATCAAGGTTAGACCTGACAGAACACATGCAGTTTAGATCCAGACAGATTAGAGGCTGAGGACAGCAGAGAAATTAAAACAGCTGATATCATGTTAACAGTTATTAATGAAAACATCAAGCACAAGTAAGATGCCAGATGGAGGGCCCAGGTGAAGAGAGAACATTTGAGACAGGTAAAAGTTTTGTGGAAAGGAGCAGAGAGAAGACAACTGCTGTCTATAGAAATGAGTACATAGACAAAAATAATTGGGCATAAAGGGATAAAACTGAGTCCTTTGCTAAGTAAGGAGAGTGGAAGGTCAGTATACGACAAAAGGTGGTATTAGATGAGAGGATGGAGTCAGAGGGAACGAGCAGGAAGGATTCAGAAAGGAGTCAGCACATGAGTATTATTGAGGCTTTCATTCCACCTGAAGAGAAAAAGCTTAAGATATCATCAAATGAGATGAGGAAAAGAAATGGAACTGGGGGACCCGAACAACTGTGAGAAGCAACCTTGAAAACACTCTTCATACCCTGCTCCCTATAACGGCTCCATTCCATTCACAGTGTCTCTGTCACACATGTTCTGATGATGCCACTTGCCAGTGTTGCTTCTAACATTTTTTCACCCCTCAATGGAGGACTTATTCCCACCGTGGTTGACAGAACTATCAGCCATGTCTGAGTCAAATCCTGCACTTCTGCACTCACCATTTTCCCTTCCTCCCAGAACAGTGACAGGATTCCTGCTGCCCTCAGATCCTTTAGCACAAGCCTCCAGCATTGCTGTCACTTTCAGTAGGGTGCCTTCACAAAACATACCTTTCCCTCCCTTGTCAGCATTCAGACTATTCCCCTTGACACCCTAGTCCACTTCTCCATCTCTCCTAACACTTCCTCGCATTTTATCCCCATGCAATGCAAAATTTCCATTTTACCTCTTCCTTTTCACTATCAAGACCACAAACACACTAACCCTATCGCAGGTGAAGGAACAGTTTACAATTACTTCTTTCAAATCTAGTCTATTGTATTCACTGCTCACAGTGCAGTTCCCTCTACATTGATGAGTCCAAACACAGATTGGATGACCACTTTGTGGTCACCTCCGCGCTGTCCATAAGAATGACAACGTTCAAGATGTTTTCCATTTCAATACACCATCTTGCTCTCATCCTAACTTCTCCATCCTCAGCCTGCTATGCTACTCCAACAAAGCCCAACACAAGATAGAAGAAAAACACTTTATTTTCTACTTCAGACTTTACAGCCTTCAAGACTCAATGTTGAGGTCAACAGCTTCAGAGCATGGACATTGTAACCTATTTTGATTACAACCTTTACCATCACCACGTGTTTTATCACATTTGTTTCAGCAAAACTGGCCTACTTTCTTCTGTTTACACCTATCATTAACAACCAAATCCTTCCACTACTGTCCCTTGTCATTTGCTGGAGACATTCTCACCATTTGTTGCACTCACCTTTATTCTTCCTTTGTCAACAACCTAAAAACTATAATTTTCCAAGCCCCTTCAGTTCCAAAGAAGTCATATTGGATTCGAAACATGAATTCTTTCTGTCTCTGCACATGCTGCCCGACTGGCCGAGTTTCTCCAGCATTTTCCATTTTTAATGATGTTCTGGAGACATTAATTCCATTTCAACCAGGACAGATGGTGAAATTTGAATTGAATGGAGATCTGGAATTGCTTCTCACAGTTGTTCAGGTCCCCCAGTTCCATTTCTTTTCCTCATCTCATTTGATGATATCTTAAGTTTTTTCTCTTCAGGTGGAATGATCTGGTTGTCATAAAACCCCATTTGGTTCACTAATGTCCTTCTGGGAAGGAAATCTGCCACCCTCACCTGGTTTGACCTACACATGATTCCAGACCCACAACAATGTGGCTGACTCTTAACTGCCCTTTGGGCAATGAGGAATGGGCAATAAATGTTGAAGCTGACAGCTGCACTCACATCCCATGAATGAATAACAGTTTTGCAAGTAAAATAGAAAATCAAACTTTTAAGGATACGGTATCAAACGAAGTTTAGAAAAAAGTATTTTAATTTGTAACTGCACTATAGTGTCTGACTTAATTACATAACTGATAATATAAAACGCACATGGAGGTTTTATATTGCACTTTTATTTTGCTGGAAAATAAATTATGCAACTTAAAAAATAAAAATTCAAAAAATAATGTAGTACATCAAAATAGTTTGATCAGGCTATGTAGAAACTGCAACCATTCAAAAATTGTACAGCATCATAACCTTGGTATGTAGTGGCACACATTCAACTTGTAAATATTAATTGTAGATAAAGTAAAACCTCTCAATTCAACTTTGCGCAACACTCCAGGCTTTACTTAGTGTATATTACAGGAAAGCTTCTAAGTCTTCAACATTTTACAATGATATGTAAAAATGCAACAGCTTATGTATAATTAGGGTAACAAATGTTCACAATTTATTGATGACCTCAACACACAGTTCCACATGAAAAATCATCCGTGCAATTCCAAGTTTCTCGAGTATTTGTGTACAATAAATTTGCAAAAATGAGTAAAGAAATCTTATTCTCAATATAATGAAAAAACTTAGCTATAAGTTTTCATTGTATTTTTTGAAATTTTAAAAAGATAGTTACTAGGATAGTACAAATAAATTAATTCAAGCACAGAATTTGAATATTTTAACTAGTTATTGAGTAACTTGTATTTAAGAAATTACAAGCTGTCTTGAACTTTACTTGGGGAAAATATGTTGAATTACACTCACTGAGGCTGTAGGGAGCAAAAGAAAGGTCAGAGTAGATCTAAGATTCTTTCAAAAAGAATATTAAAATTAACAATTCTGTGGACACAGAAATGGAAGACTTCAAACGTAATTTTAATATCTACTACCATTAGATTGCAGTTTGATAAAACAATTTTTATTAAGTCTCACAATTCTAAATTGTTGACTAATTCCATATAAAAGATGATTCTTATTCCATTTGAATAGTAATAATTCTAGTATTTCCCATATTTTCTCTACCAGGCAGTGTTACAAGATCCATATACACATCTTTATTCAGTGAAGTGAAACGGTGTGCAGATACACGGTGCATGCCATTTCCGGGGTTTTCATAAAACATGCAATTTGTTTTGTTTATAGTAACTCACTCTGTATTAAATCACAATAATCTGGTCACATAATCAAGATTAAGTCTGCTTTTTTTATAAAATAATTATTCAGGACCTCTTCCCAGATCATTGTGATTAGATTCAGACACTGATTTCTCTGCATTTTCTATGTGGTTGGCATTGAACAAGTGAATCAGCACTTGAATATTTTTCCAAGTTCTCATCTAGCAACAGTACCAAACGCTGGATCCAGTAAAAATGTTGTATATCCCTTTCTCCTTCTTCACTGCAGTTATGCATATTTTCTTTCTTTTGTTGCTTAGTGCATTCAAGGAATTGGACATATTTCAAACTGCGAATTCATGATCCTCATGCTCATTTACTGGATGCACATAATGCATTTGAAATGAAATAATACTCCCATTTTAGGGAAAGAATGTGTAGATACTAAAAAAACTCTAACCTGAAAGCAAGGTATTTAGGTTTTATCACCCCATAAATATTAGGGGTTATGGTTTGCAGGAAGAAAATGAAAATAACTCACCAAAAGCCCTTTTAAGCATGCATGCTACATGTACAATCAGTGCCCTGCACAAGCTGCAATTTCAAGTTAGCGAATAATTATACCCCTTCACTTTGCTCCCCTCTTCAAGTTATGGACTCCTTGCTGCTGTATTTCAATAGGTGTTAGTTGCCCTTCAATGTCTGACTCAACTGCCTATCATTCATATCTGAACTTTGCCAATTAAATGGCAAGTTGTTCAACTGCAGTTGGCACCATGTTGAGGTCAGATGCTACATGTCATCTAATTAATGCATACTTTCAGGAGTAACCAGGTAACAGTCTTGAGCAGGAATTCAAATTTACATTCCTCTCAGCTTAGGGGAGCTATAGCCTATTGTTATCCCGACTGAGATTAGCTAACTCGTCATTATCCAGCAACTGAATCTTTCATAGTCTATATCTCTGTGCTACTAATTAGATGATTTCACTAAGATACTGGATGACCAGAACTTAATTTTAAATGACATTTAAAATGTGTTTTGGGCCAAGTCGTTCAATTTATCAATTATCTAAAATCAAAACATGTCATTGTGAGCTTCCATCTTTTGTTTTGGTTGGGGGGGGGGGGGGGGGGGAGTAACTGAAAGGCATAGGATTTAAATATGAACAGCCTCACATTGAATAAATATTTATTCAGTTTCACTCAATGAGTTTGACAATTTTCCCCAATTCCCAGAACATACACTACCATGAATTCCAAGCAACCTATTGCCATATTAACTAGAGACAACCTCTGAAACACTGCAGTCTCTGCCCTTCCTATTACATCTGACCCAAATTTCTGACATCAGCATTAGCCTCAGTTGGAGCACATTAGGCATTACATACTAAATTTATCTAATGTAGCTCCTCAGAGAGGCCCTTGCAAAACAGTCTATCTTGCCTTTTCCCATAATATTAAATGTGGCAAAACATACCCTAAAGAGAAAGGGCAAGTTGAAGTGCAAGCAGCACATGGGATTCCAACGAAAATCTCTAGAATGGTAGTAAATATTGCCAGTTAATTGAATAAAATTGCAATATATCAGTATGTTTGGAGCCACATATAGAAATGTTGGGCAAGATATTTTCAGTGATGTCAGATAGTAAATAAAGCTGACATAGTCCCAGAGGACCAAAGGGCTGCTCTCTTATTACAGAGACACGACTAGTGGCAAGTTTCACCTGAAGGAAACGACATCTCAGGCCAGGGTTGAGGTTGGGAAGATAGAACCTTCATGGTAACCTCAGCCAGAATGGGAAATTGAACCCGTTCTGTTGTCCTCATTCTGCACTGCAAACCAGCTAACTAAGCTAACCAATCCCCAGTGTGAAATAAGAATGAAAAATGTCACTGGGGCACTGAAGATTTAAAAAGAAAACGTTTTAGAATATTGCATGCATACATGCAAGGGTTGTTGCCAAAATATTTTAAATTAGAGGAGACAACATTTTGTGAAAGGATAGTTCAATTTTGTAGAAGCTAGTGGAAAGTACTGGATCACTTACTCAAACTAGTCAACCAATCTTAGGTTTTCAGTTGTTTCAGAAGCACACTAAGTCCCAGTGACAGCTGTACGTACCCGTTTGTGTATGCGCAAACAGCTTCCATCATAAAAGCAGATACACTTTCATTCTGTTACTATTCCTCTTCTGCCCAACTTTTCAGCTAGAACTAAAATGCAGCAAAAAAAATAGGGTACAGAGAGGTTACAGATATCTCCAATAAAATCACCAGTTGATTGGACTATATCTGACAGGTAAAATGGATTATAGGTTTTCCATCAAATTTCCTCTCCTACTTCTGAAAGCATCAATTCTCAACAGGATACAGTTCCACAAGAGCTGGCAGCAGCACTCTTCTTCAACCAAACAGTTATCTTTATGTGTGGCAAAACTGTATCAGGCAATTTGACTTATCAACCACAGTACTTTTTCCAGATGGAATTGCCGGGTAAAGTCAAGAACAGAAGCCCTGCCTGATTTCCTTAGTTCAAGGAACTTTAAAAAAGTGTTGTAATTTTACATTTTATCACTTAAACTGAAAGAAATTTAATTTCATACAAGTGGTTATTTGGAACTAAATTTTTAGCTCTCTCAGAAAAATGCAAGATGGCGGGCCAATTATAGCAATTAACACCATTGTGGAAGGAACCTAGTAGCACAGCACGATAACAAACCTGGTACTTCATTGTCAGGAAAGCCTGGTACAACGGTGAATGATTCTTTCACTCAGTAGGCCTTTAAGGAACTTGCAAACAATAATTTTTCTATCCTTCATACACTTCCCCACGCTTGTTGCAACCTTCTCTAACTTGAGGTGCTCCTTTGGGATGGCAGAAAGAGAAAAATAGGTTCCAACTAATGACAGGCCTGAGTGACCGGGTTGAATGGCAAACACAATCTCTGAATACAGGCTGCAACCAGTTAATTAAAATAGTATTAGAATTACTCAATATGGGCAACTCCTTCTAACAGTAAGATGTTAGCCAAGCCCAACAATGAACCAACAAAGCCAGAGTAATATTAAACTTTCACGTGTGCAACAGGTTACAAAAATCATAGTAGACCAGTCTGTACTAAATGACAGCACCTGGTATTTTCAGAAAAGTGAAACTGCTGCTCCTAACACTATTTTGTAATATAAAATGACTCAAGTATTTTCCCCAGTGCATGAAATTTTAAAGTCCTATATTCACTGGTATAATTGTGTCTGGAAAAAAAATATATTTAACTCTGGTACAGAACAAGTGAAAATAGGGCCAAAGAAAGCATAGCAGGTTCTGATGAATTCAGTACTCCCACAAAATAGCATGCTGTCGAAAGTGAACTACACAAAGGCAGATAAATGCTAAGTGGATGAAATTGGTAAATATTATTCATCTGTTGTACAGTAAGGCAGGGACTTAATAATGCAACTGAATAAATCTTTGAATTGTAGTCACTCTTCAGCTACCTCTTTCAAAGTCTGCAAAGACAAAATAGGATTCTTTCCAATCTCTGGCATTGTTCTCTTACACAGTCACTATGCCATATAAATGAAAGTGTTTATGTCCGACTCATCCCTTCTAATATATTTGTGCTCTATCAGCCATTCAATTTGTTCTTTGATCATTTTTTTCTGTGGCAAAAACATATTTTTCAGTATTTCTACAAGTTCTGTCTGGAGTTGAGCATTTGTGATTTTTTTCCGCATCTTCATAATTTGTATGATCGCTTCCTAGAAATGTAAACAAAAGGAATCAAAATTTCAAACTGCAAATCAATTTACAGAATAACTTCAGGTATGTTATGTTTCTATTTAAACGTGGAAATATTCAACTTCCTTCAGAATCAAAGTAAAGCTTTAAGACACAAAAAGTTAAAAAAACCTCATCAATAAATCTCAATCTAAAACTCATTTGTTACTTAAAGGAAGAGGAAAACCCTATAGAATTGGACAATGGCCAAATATTGAAGCTTGCTTTTCCCAGATATTTCAACAAATTTTTAACAACCGTTAGACTGCGAATTTTCTCAACATACAGGACACATTCTGAAGCTGCTCATTCCCTCATGTTTAATAAGCACCAAGGTCCCTTGGAGGGCACTTCTTTGCAATAGCATTTTGGTAACCAACATATGCTTCTTAACCCAATGCTTGTGTGATGATGCCAAACTGGAAGGGAACTCGAGCAGAGAATGATACCAAGAGGCTTCAACAGGAATTAGATAAACGCATGTGCTAGAACATGGCAGATGAAATATGACGTGAGTAAATATAAAATTACTCCCTTTTGTAGGAAGAAAAAGGTAGAATATTTCTTAAATGGTGAGGGGGTTGGGAAGAGCAAGTGTCAGAGGAACTTAGGTATCCTTGTTCCTAAGCCAATAAAAGTTAGCATGCAGGTACGGCAAACAATTAGAAAGGCAAATGATATGTTGGCCTTCATCACGGGTGGATTTGAATACAGGAGTAAAGACGTCTTGCTGCAATTGCATAGGACCTTGGTGAGACCTTACCTCAACTATTCTATATATTTTTGGTCTCCTTACTAAAGCAAGGATACATTTTACAGAGGGAGAGCAGTCGGGGTTCACTAGATTAATTCCGGGTGTGGTAGGATTGTTTATTTGAGGAGAATGGGTCTGCTTACTCCAGATTTGGAAGAATAAGAGATGACCTCATTGAAACATACTAACTTCTTAAAGGGCATAATAGGATAGATGGAAATGATTTCCCTAGCTGGTTAATCTAAAACTAGTGACATAATCTCAGGATAAGGGGCAGTCTATTTAAGACAGAGGAGGGGGAATTTCTTTTCTCACAGAGTGGTGAATCTTTGGAATTCTTTACCACTGAACTGTGAAAGCTCAATCACTGAACACATTCAAGACAGAAATTGAGAGGGTTGTGGTGACTAATAACATCAAGGGTTATGGAGATAGTGTGGGATAGTAGCTTTGATGTACATGATCAGCCATTATGTAAATCTGCAATAATGGAACAGGCAGTTCTAAGACCTCGCTCAAATTGTCATCCTTTATACTTGAACCCCGAAAGGGAATATTGCTAAGTTATTGAATCACCAGAAACGTTATAGCCATCTTTCTGAATTCATCCAAAACACATTCCCCCCAACTAAACGTTCCCAGGCCACTTACACCTTTTAGACCCTGATCCGACACCTCTGGGACCTGATCCACCCTCTCACCAGCTTCAGACTCGATATGACACACCCCCACCCCAAAACATCCTGGACTAACATTCTCCCTCAGCTGCGTAGCCAATGAAATCTCCACCCAAACTGACTGGCATGCTGATGCACAGGTTCCATTTCTGGAAGCTGCTGGACGTCTGCGCACCAGCTCGAAAGTTTAGAGGGAATGGTGAGTGGGTCCCCACTCCTCCTTTACTCAACCTGGGAGCTGATGCCCTTCACTCATCTTGGAGCCTAACTGCCTACCCTGCCTGCAACCTAAACCCACACTTTCCTTATGTTCGTATTATTTGACAGCAACTGACTATTGCAAAAAAGGGCATTGGTTTTCCTTCCTCTAATAGTTCTGCTCTACAAGTAAGTCTCTTCATTTCTGAAAGATTCCTGATCAGAATTTCCTGTTAGAAATGCAATCTCACTTTGCTACTCATTGTAAAATCAGGTGCAGTGTATACTGCTAATGGACAAAGCAAACCAGTCTGAATGTAAAGGCATAAAATTATCCTGTACATTTCAAAATACTAATGTTAACAATTTAAAAATGTTAATCGTAACAAATGTTATTTTTAGAAATTTATACTCTTAAAAAACTTTTTATACTCTTTATAGACTAAACTATACCTGCGTGCGTAATATTCTCAGCTGGACTATTCCTTCATTTTCTTCTTCTCTCATTCTTTCTGTAGTTAGCTGTAATCTTCCAATTAAATTAATTTTCCCCCTCTTCTGAACTTTGCTGTTCTTGCTGGAAGAAAGACATGCATGCTATTGAATATTGTCACAATATAAGATACAGACAACTCATTTCTAAATCTTAAACTAATTGAAAAGCCTTGGACTCGGGTTTAAAAGGGAACAGTTAAAAAATGAACTGAGACACTTTAAAATGGCTGCCAAAATTATCAGTTCTGAAAGTAGACAGCTCAAAAGGAATTTACAAAGGACTATCAAAATAACACGAGTAAAACTATCTATCACACTTTGAAAAGGCTAATGCAAAGGTATTATCTAAACATTGAAATTCAACATCTAGAACGTATAGCTCACAACATGATCTTCAAAATCTCTGGGAACGAGACTTCTTGACCAGAGGTATTGCTGAAATACAGGCTTAAATCTAAAACTCATTTTGCAAAGAAGAGAACTGAAACCTTCCTACCCATATTAATGATAACAATAGACAATTGAAACTTTGACTAAAAAAAAATGGAATGTCGCCATGGGGGCCAACAGCCACAGACACCGAAATCTCCTTCCTATGAAAAGCCATGACTATAAGCTGGTGTTTATTTGCTGCAAAAGTCAGGAAAATCTGGTAACTTTGCTGAGAAGAATGCATTGCAGAACATAAAAGCAAGTGGTATGGTAAGTTCTGCAAAAGTGATTAGCCCCAAGAAAATAAACTATAAAGAGATCTTAAAATGTGGAAATATATACTTACACAAGTACATCCAAGAAAACTGTACTTTTAGTTCCACCTCCACACACTGTGTACCTTGGCCGGGGGGGGGGGGGGGGGGGTTGTGTGTGTGTGTGTGTGTTGCAGAATTTAAGATGGATTTTTATTTGATAAACATTTATATTTTATTTGAGTGAGTGAATTTCAATTAATTGCTTAATTTTGATTAACACAAGGTTTGTCTGGCTTGGCTTTTTTGTAGCTTTAATGCATGTTCAAGTATGCATTGCACTGGGAATAAAATGCATATCTGTTTAAAAATTCAAAGTTATACCAACTTCATAGAGAAAATTATATATCTGCCCAGATTTGGTCTTAGTAAGACAATGTGTTTGTGTAGGAGAGGGGAGACTACAGGTTCTCACATTTTGTCTCAAGTATTATAAACAAGTATCATAGAAAATTAGTTGCATCTGCTAAGGATTCTTGAATTCAGCTTTTGCCAACATTTGACACAATAATAAATACATCATGTTTTCAATTCTTAGAAGTAGTGAAAACATACAGTTAATCAAACACCAAGCTTCATGGAAACTCAAGGCCTCACGATGGGAAGCATACTGTTTCCTTCTAAACTGCAAGGTAGTTCCCCTCCACACTCAAGCTTTTTCAGGGCTAGCTTGACCTGTTGCTCAAATATCAGAAACACCTCACTCTTCCATGATACTCTGAGGTTGACTGGACACTTTTCAGGATGGAAAATGGCACCCTTAGGCCTATTCATGAGTTTGCGATATTCAGTGAACAACGATTTGATTGGGTAGCCATATCCAACAGAACACCTGGATTCCCATGATTTAGTGAGGTGGCACAGATGTCCGTGTCTTCTTTAAGCAGCCCATTAGGGAACAGGCAAACAAAGCTGCACAAATATATGGACATGGCATTGCTATCAATATTTGGTAGTTGCGAAGGTAGAGGCACTAGGAATGTATAAAATGCACTCACAAGTGTTTATGTCAATTCACTATTTATGTACAGAGTCAGAGCACAGAAACAGGCCCTATGGCGCAACTCTTCCATGCTGGCCATGTTGCCATATTAAAACTAGTCCCACTTGTCTGCATTTGACCCATATTCCTCCAAACCTTTCCTATTCATAAACCTATGTAAATGTTGTAACTGTACCTGCATCCACCACTTCCTCTGGCAGTTCATTCCACTTACCAAACACTAAAACGGTTGCCCCTTATGTCCTTTCTAAAACTTTCTCCTCTCACCATAGAAGTATGCCCCCTAGTTTTGAACTTACTCACTGCAGGGAAAAGATCCTTGCTATTCACGTTATCTAAGCCCCTCGTGATTTTACAAACCTCTATTCTTCCAGTTCTTGTCAAGTAAAACAGTCATAGTTAAAATAGAGCGTACAGAGAGTATAAGGCATTGAAGCAAGGAGGTAATGATGAGCTGTTTAAAGCATTAGTTAGGCCACAGCTGATGTATCGTATGCAGTTCTGGTCACCACACGTGGGGCTGGAGTGATTCAGCTAAGAGAGACGAGATAGGCTTCGGTTGTTTCCCTTAGAGCACAGGAGCCGTGGTGAGGGGGTGCCTAATTGGGGCACACAAAATCATGAGGGGGCATCGATAGAATTTCCTCCATCTATTCTTTCTCCTTTAATAACCGTGGACCCAGTTTTAAGATAAGGAGCAGGAAGTTTAGAGGGGATTTAAGGAAAATTTATTTCACCCATAGGCTGGTTGCTATCAGGAATTCACTGCTTTAAAGGGTGGTAGAGGCAGGAACTCTTGTGATATTTAAGAAACATTTAGATGAGCATTTGAAATGCGATAGTGCACAAGACTATGAGACATGTGCTGGAAAATGGGGCCAGAATAGATAAATGCTTGTTGAGTGGTATGGTCACAAATGGGCCAAAGGGTTTTTTCTGTGCTGTAAAAAAAAATCTGACTCTTTGAGATTGCTGATGTGCACCTTGGGCAACCTGGCTGCTACACAGATTAACTCTACTGTAGACACCACCAGGCTGTATATTACTCTGAAACAAGTCTAACATGTTTTCTAATTTCTTTTTGAGCAAGGCTGCATGGTCACACTTAGTGGTTGGTCCAATGGAAATGAATTAAAGAAATGGCACACATTTTGTCCACACAGTTGCGCTTACTGAGGTTCCTTGCCAGGCTTGCAGGTATAAATATTGGTGTTGACCTTGAGGTATTGCAATACCATCAGGCATTCACACTGCATACGAAAATCAGACAAGTCCTTGGCCATCCCTTGACATTCATGCAGTAATCAACTACGTAGAATTTGAAGGACTCAGGCATCTTATTGGGCACTGATTTATGGCGGGACAGCTGGGAATAGAGTTCAAAATCAGCAATAAATAGAAAACTCTTTGTTCAGTGACACTATAAATATCTTTAAGAGCACTCATCTCTTCTGACAGCTCTCGTGTGTCTACAGGCTGAATAGTTTCTTACCATTGGTGATTTGCATCTGCAGGTACGCTGTTAACCAGACTGACCTTCACTTCGCCTTTTAACGTATTTCCACATTTATTTTAGTGAATCACTTCAACTTCCTTCCTACAGAATATTCAAAGCCACCTTTCGACTTACTTCGCTTCAGAATGTTCATGAATTATGATGGTAGTTGCTAATACTCCCTATGTATTTAGCCTCAGTACATATGCACCAACATTATGTGTTTTTATTTTATTGGCTCATGGGCTGTGAGCATTGCTGGCAAACCACCATTTATTGCCTTTAAACATATCTCAAGTCTGTGCAGTTTATCATTGAATAAACGCCCCACCAACAAATCTGTATAAATTATTTCTTAATTTTCTTTTCCTCTTGCTCACTTCCAAGATAGAAATACAAACAGCATATGGCTGAAATCACCAAGTTAATTCCCTGGGAGCCACTTTAATTGTCACACATTCGTAAAGTTGGACTGACATCCCTTTGCCTGAAAGGACAATACTGCTTGTGTTTTGCATTGGCTTTTCTGGTTACAAATCTTTGAAGTCTGAAACGATTAATAATTTTATATTTCATCTCATTGTGGATGCAACAGAAAACCTTCAGTACTCAAATTAATTTCTGATAGATGTAAGATGGCAAATGAGAAACTAGATACAGGATGCAATGAAATAATTCATCTGATTAGAAAATTGAAGTTAAAGGAAATTACAGTTCTAATTTAAAAAAAAATACTTCTTTTAATACTTACATTAAAGAAAAGTCCTGGTTTACTGAGAAAAGAGTGCCTTCTGTAAAATCTTTGGGTGAGCTGACCTGAGGTTCATGGAGTAAAACCTGACGTTTCAGTTTTGGAAAAGCTACAAGTGACTTTTGGAACAAAAACAAAAATAGTAAGATTAATGGTCTCTTAATTAGTGAATATGATGACAAAAATAAACTTGCATTTGTTTAGCACCTGGTTCTATGAGGTAAAAACATGTAGGAACAGCACAGTCAAAGATGTGACTATTTTTAAATAGAGGCTTCTACAGGTGCGGAGAGTTTTAAGGAGAGAGTTCCAAAGCAAGGGAACAATATATTTAAAGGTAGTGAAGGTGAAGACATACAAGGGATATCAATTAGAAGACACTGAAACTGGGGAAAATGCGGTAGTAGGATGGGCAAGGCACAGACTTTGGTTTCAACATAAAACAGAATACTGAAAGAAAACAGCAATCACTCGGCACAGAGAAGGCAGGCATGGGTATATGAACCATCAAAATCTGTATTTTCTCTTTACGAATGCTAAATCATTCTGTTGCACATTTCCAACACCTTCCATTTTTATTTCAGATATCTAGCATATGAAAAGTTTCCATTTCATTTTACTTTTTGAATTCAATATGTTGGGGTTGGAAAAACGTAATTAACAGAGGAGTAAGGCTTATTATTACACATTAAAGCTGTGCTGTGTATGATTTAGAACGATATAATTTGGGGGTATTAGGTAGGTGGTCATTTGGGGATTAGGGCGCAGAGTTGCAGGATGATTTTGGTTAGCTGGAACTCAAAAAGTTCTGGACCATCTACAATTATGTAAAATAACTAGACATCAGTGTTAGCTATGATGTCAAAGTAGGCAGAGAAGAAGCTGAACTAGTTGTCAACAGCTAATACATGGATACGAGGTCTAGTGGAGCAGAGGTCCAGGTTCAAGTCCCAACTGCTCCAGAAGTGTGCTATACCAATTTCACACAGGTTGGTTAAAATAACTAATCACAGATGATGACTTCAAGCTTATAAATGCTGTCATTGAAACACAGCCTTTAGCTGGGAAGAGGAATAGAGCTTGAAATAAATGCAAGATATAGAAACTGGAAATCTGAAAAAAAAAACAGAAAATGCTGGAACTATTCAGTAGAGCAGGCAGCATCCATGGAGATGGAAAAAGAAATAACAATTCAGGTTAATGCAGAATGCAGTCATCAGAATGCAGTCTAAAAAAAAAATGCAAGTCAAGCTTACAGTTGTCTAACAATATACACAGCTATGAAGACGGATAACTCAAATAAAATTATCTTTGTAATCTGTAATATCACTCACTTCCTCCCACCCAATGCCAAAACCTTTATCAACAGGTTTGTTTCCTCCAGACTACCATGCTTTCATGGCCAGCTTCTCATCTGCCATAAAGTTAGCAAACCAAAAACTTTATTGCCTGTTTACTATACCACACAACAAGTCAGATTCACCATCACACATCCTGCTAATGCTCACAAAATGGTTTCCAGATTGTCAACGATTGAATTTAGTGTTTAAATTCCAGAAGTGGACACAATATTATTTTAAAAAATGTTAAAAGGGAGGGTAGCTATTTAGCCCTTTGGTGCAACAGCAACTCACTTACCCTCATTACTCCAACATTTCCTTGAAACCCAGCAAACGTTTCTCTCAAGACAATTAATCATTTCTCTTTTGAAGGTAATGATTGAATCTACTTCCACTTCTTGTGCATAAAGAGTTTGATGCATTTGATTCTTGATCCTTCAGCCACTGGGAACAAGACTGTCCCCATCTACTTTGTACACATACACACGATTTTGAATATCGTCATCAAATCTCTTGTCAACCTTCTTAATCTATCAAAATAACTGAAATCGCTCATCTCTCAAACCATTCATGCAAACTTTCATTGCATCCTTCACATCCTCTCTAAAGCAAAGTGCCCAGAATTGAACAATACTCTACAACTGAGATTGAAATCAGTGTTTCATAAAAGTTTATCATAACTTCCTTTCTTTTGCATTTTATTCCCTCATTTATAAATTCTATCATCCCATATGCTTTAGTAACTGCTTTCTCAACCTGCCCTGCCACCTTGAGTAATTTGTACACATAACTCCAGGTCCTCTGCTCCAGAAATACTCAAATCAGGGAGCATCTCTGCTTGAATTGTACATTTTGTTTTACATTGCCTCTCCTCACTCTTCCTAACAAAATAAACAATTTCATGCATATCTGCATTAAATTCCATCTGCTACTTATTAACTGCACACCCTCATCAAGCCAATAAAATTCCATACTTTATATTACTGTAGCAAAATACTCAAGTAATTTAGTTAAGCAGTCTTCCTTCAATAAAGCTATGCTGATTTTCCTTAATTAATCTGCATTTATCCAAATTACTGTTAATCCTGTCCCCAAATGTTTCTAAAACCTTTCCCAGTACCAGCAGCATGATTGACTTGCAGTTCCTGACTTTATCCTTGCACTCTATTCTTTCCAACAGGATATAACATTTGTAATTCTCCAATCTTCTGGCACCAGGAAGATAATGGCCAATGTCTTTGCTATTTCCACCCTGACTTTCATCAACATTTTTGGATGCACCTCACTCAGTCCTGGTCACTTATCAACTTCAAGTACAACCAGCTTTTCTAATACTTCCTCTTAATTTTTACTTCAACCAGTCTGCCAACTACCTCCATTTCACTATGGCTTGAGCAGCACCTTCTTCTTTAGTATCAAATGATTTAAAGTATTCTGCTTGAAGGAGAGGGGCATTGCTAAGGTGTGCAATTAAATCACATTCTAGACCTCCAATTGTCCCTACACCTACTTTCGACTATTTATATGCATATAGATTACTTTTGAATTCCCTCTTATGTCAACCACCAGTCTCTCCTCTCCTTGCTTCTCATTTATTGGCTTTTCACTTCCCTTCTGAATATTTAGTCTCATGTAGAATGTCATACATATTGTTTTACTGCTCCATTTTCCTCTCTACCTTTTTTGTCATCCAAGGAGCTCTGAACTTGTTGGGCCTATTTTTCCAGGTCATGTCTAAGCACCTTGACTTTACCTGAACTATCTAAAGGCATCCCGTTATTTCCTTACAGTTTTGTCTGGCAATCCATCTGGCACAGGTCCATTCTCATCCCATTGAGTTTGACTCTCCTGCAGTTAACTTTTCCCCTAGGTCTGTAACATCCGTCAGCCCTAAAAATGCAAATTCCCAATCCTTTGACCACATTCTCTTAAGCACTGCCCCTCCTCTCTGTACCTACCCAAGACAACCCTCCTGTTTCTGTGCTTTTTGGTGTTTTTTGTTTTAACTGACTAGGGCCCATTTTTTAGAATTTTCACCTTAAAACATCCCCTTATCCTCTTTCAAAATCCTTCACCTAAACTAACCACTAAAGTATTTGATCACCTTCATTGTCTTCATGTTTCTCTCCCTCACATTTTTACAGCATTTTTATAAGGATAGAAAAATGTTTTACAGAAGTCTAAGTTATTGTTATAATCAAACTTCTACATTACCTGCACCTTCAAATGTAAAAGGAATCAATGATGTTTAGAAGAAAGTAGTGCAAGAGAAAGTAGTTGCTAAAGCAAATAACTTACCCATAATGTCCTCCTAAGTTCTGCATCTGGGAGTTCAGTTGCTAATTTTAGATTTTCAAAACTAATCTTTTCTCTTGGTCTTTGGTTCCAGGCAAACAGTACTGCCAGCTGAAATGTGGTAACCTCCAAATCATACTGGCCAACTTCATTTTTGAAAGTTATCTATTATTTCGGGGAGGAGTGGGGGTGAAGATAAGGAAATTATTCCATTATTATACATCAGCAAAAAAGACTGTATTCAGTTTTTTTCATTATATACACGATAAATTAAATTGAAATGCTAATAATAAAAATGACAAGTTGCATGATATTGAACAATTTTTGTAATTTTTAAAAACCTTTTATGCAAATTTAGCTTCCTAAGAAAAGTTCATTACATTACTGAATTGTTTACAGTCAACAATAACCAAATAGACTATTGCAACACTAACCATCTACACACTGATTAAAAAACCAGCAACAGATCAAATTGTCCACAAAATGTCAAGATAGTAAAGGTCAATTGGAAAACTGCCTAGAGGTTGTTTTGACTAATCTTTCCTATTTGACTCTTTCGATTGCATCAGGTACAATATTCTTCAATTTACTCATGAGATGTGGACGTCACTGGCTGGCTAGCATTTTTTGCCCATCCCTAGTTGCCCTTGAGAAGCTGGTGATGAGCTGCCTTCTTAAACCACTGTAGGCCACGCGCTGTAGGTAAATGCCATTAGTGAGGGAATTCTAGGATTCTGACCCAGGGACAGCAAGGGGATGGCAATATATTTCCAAGTCAGGATAGTAAGTGGCTTAGAGGGGAACTTGAAGGTGGTGGTGTTCCAATGTATCTGCTTCCTTGTCCATCCAGCTGGAAGCAGTTGTGGGTTCACAAGGTGCTATCTAAAGACCATTAGTGAATTTCTGCAGTGCATCTTGCAGATAAAACACACTGCTGTTGCTGATCATTAGTGGTGGAGGGAGTGGATGTTTGTGGATGTGGTGCTAATCAAGTGGCTACTTTGTCCTGAATGGTGTCAACTTTCTTGAGTACTGTTGGAGCTGCACTCATCCAGGAAAGTGAGGAGTATTCCATCACACTCCTGACTTATAGATGGTGGTCAGGCTTTGAACAGTCGAGTGGTGAGTTACTGGCAGCAGTAATCCTAGTTTCTGACCTCTTGTTGTAGTCTCTGTATTCATATTGGCAAGTCCAGTTCAGTTTCTGGCCAATGATAACACCTAGGATATTGACAATGGGGGATTCTGTGATCTTAACACCATTAAATGTCAAGGGGCAGGGGTTATATTGTCTCCTACTGGAGACGGTCATCGTGTGGCGTGTATGTTACTTACCACATATCAGCCCAAGCCTGGACATTGTCCAGATCTTGTTGCATTTGAACATGGACTGCTACAGTATCTGAAGTGTCCCCAATGGGGCTAAACACTCTGCCATCATCAGCAAATATGACCACTTCTGACCTTATGGTGAACGGAAAATTGTTGAAGCAGCTGAAGTTGGTCACTAGTAGTATACCATCCTGAGGAACTCCGGTAGAGATGTCTTGGAGTCGTGACGACTGACCTTCACCAGCCACAATCATCTTCCTACGTGCCAAGTATGACTCAAACCAGTCAGAGTTTGCCTCCTGATACCCATTGATTCCAGTTTTGCGAGGGTTCCTTGATGCCATACTCGGTTTAATGCAGTCTTGATGTCAAGGACTGTCGCTTTCACTTCATCTCTGGAATTCAGTGCTTTTGTCCATCTTTGAACCAAGCTTGTAATGAGGTCAGGAGCTGAGTGGTTCTGGCAGAACCCAAACTGGGCATCAGTGAGCAAGATACTGCTAAGTGGGTGCCTCTCCACCTATCTTCTCCTCTATCCATCTTCTATCCGCCTCCCCTTCTCTCCCTATTTATTTCAGAACCCCCTTCCCCTCCCCCATTTCTGAAGAAGGGTGTCGGCCCGAAATGTCAGCCTTTCTGCTCCTATGATGCTGCTTGGCCTGCTGTGTTCATCCAGCTCTGCACCTTGTTGTCTCAGATTCTCCAGCATCTGCAGTTCCTGCTATCGCTGCTTGATAGTACTGTTGATGACACCTTCCATCACTTTACTGATGACAGAGTAGACAGACAGGGCTGCAACTGGTCAGGTTGGATTTCTCCTGCTTTTTTTTTACAGGACAGACCAACACAATTTTCCACATTGTCAGTTAGATGCTAGCGTTGTAAGTGTACCGGAAGAGCTTGACTAGGAGAGTGGCAAACTCTGGAGCAGGCCACAATGCTGTCAGTCTCATAGCTTTTGCAGCACTGTCTCTAACCCCATTTCTTGATAATACATGCAGTGAATCAAATGGATTGAGGACTGGCATCTGTGATGCTGGGGACCACTGCGGGAGGCAGAGATTGCTGTACATTTGTCAGCTATATCTTTTGCACTGATGGGTTGGGCTCTTCCATTACTGAGGATAGGATATTTGTGGAGCCTTTTCCTCCTCTAGTGAGTTTTGTTTTTACTTGTCTACGACCATTCACAATTGAATGTGGCAGGAATACAAAGCTTAGAATTGATCTGCTGGTTGCGGGATTGTTTAGCTCTGTCACTTTCTGCTTATGCTGTTTGGCACCAAGTAGTCCTATTTGGTAGCTTCACCAGGTTTAGAAACAATTTTATCACTGCTAGCTGTCCTCCAGGACCTTGTATATTTCTGGCAGACACTTACATCATTGGAATCTTAGGGGAACACAACAAAGCCTAATGCTGCCAACTCTCTCAACATTTCCCAGAAGGAGCCAATGGCTAACAATCTAACAGCCATATGATCAAAATGTAAAGGAGATGGAAGCCCTATGGACTCAATATTGAGTTCAATAATTTTAGGGCCTAAACTCTCCCATGTCCTAGCCCCCTACCCCACATACCAGGCCTTGTTATCACATAGCCTGACACTACACACTACCTATGGTTAGTCATTAACAGTCCCCATTAACAACTATTCACCCTCCCAGCCAGATCGTTATCAACTCCTTTGTCTATCCAACAGCTCTTCTCTCTCTTCAGGCTCTATCCTATCGTTTACACCCTACCCCACCCACCCCTCCCTAATTTCTGCATATAAACTGACATTTCCTAGCTACCATTAGTTCTGTGAAACGGTCACCAGACCCGAAACATTAACTCTGATTTGTTCTTCACAACTGCTGCTAGACCTGCTGAGCTTACCCAGCAACTTCTGTTTTTGATTCTCTTAAATATATTTTATTTACATCTATTTAAGACAAGTAAGTTTTGCCAAAAAAGCTTAAAACTAGCAAGAGCATTATACTAATTAAAAATATTAGTTCAATTTCATGCCAAACTTGAACTAGCAATTTTAGAAAGCTGTTCACAAGCTTACTTATTCCTTTAACTTATTACCAGAATGCAAATAACATCACTTGCTGACTGACTCTTTTTTGTAAATATGAAGGTTAAGTTTATCAGCAAACTAAACAAAAGCTGTCTATGCCAGTCACATCATCCAATGGCTACACATCAAGATCAAAAGCATTCTGTTACTTACAATTCCATTAGACATGAGGTGATGCCAATGCAGCTTTCGACCACTGTGGTTTTTTTTGTAGAATTCTTCCACCTCGGGGATGAGGTCTTCTAGTTCAGTCGGCAGAGAAACAAACACTTTCTCGGAACTTCGTGACCAAGCACCAGCATTTAAAATCTTGATATTCACAGAATCCGCTAAATAGCATTAAGAGTTATAATTTAGTTTTTAGCATTTCTAATAAGCATCTCTCATACTCTCTTAGACTTTCATTTCTAGGAATAATAAATTTTTGATTGTGTTAAATTTAATCTGCAAAGGCACAACCACATTCTTTGAACATATTAAGCATTGAAATAGTGTAGTATTAACTTTTTAATTTTAAAAAAAACAGTAATCATTGGTGACATATATTCAAAAGAATGTTCTCTCTCAAAGTTTTAAAAAAAATACCTGGTAAGGCCAACTTATTGTTTTTGTGCATTTCTTTGAAGACTTGGTTCAGGTCTTCAGACACTTTAATGTCCTGGAACATTCTGGCCAACTTGTTCACATAGTCAGCAGGCATGCCTACTTCCTAAAACACACAATTATATATTTTTTTAAAAAGTTCTATCTTATAAAAATACGCAACACTAATAAATACAATGAAAAAAGATGTGAGCACTTTACTAGTTAAATTAAATGTATCAACTTACTGAATCAGTTTTAAACTATGTAAATCTGAAAGTACGATTCAATATATAAAACATACCCCAATTTGGGAGTATTGGATTTCACAGAATGTTTTAAGCCATTTTTACAATAATTGCATTCTAAATTTAAGAACAGTGACACCACCGGCTCGAACACACACTTACCAGAGTGGTAAGCTCCATGCCCTTGAAGAGCCAGAGCATGAGCCACAGCCAGAGAACAAGTCAGAACAAAAATACATCATTACCAAACCACTGGACGGACTCCATCACCTAAATTCCATCTAGGCGCGTACACAATAGATATGCATCACTTTAAACATTATGACATATTTTGCTCAAAAGAAAAAAATTGCAAGGGTAAGCTCGGCATTACAGACCAGTCAGATTAATTCCAGTGGTGGGTATCTTTTTGAAACAATTCATTGGAATAGAATTAATGAGGAAAATATGTAGGTTCACCTAGGAAGAGTCAGCATAGATTTCTTAATGAATTGAGATGTTTAACTAACTTCTTGAGATTTTGAAGAGGCAACAACAGATAGTCGAGGGGAGCAAAGTTATTGATGTGGTATGCATGGACTCCCAAAGGCGAGCAATACAATTTCATTCAATAGGCTTGAGACTGAAAATCTGTAAGACAGTAGTGACATGCATACAACATTGGTTGTGGGATAGGAAACAGAGAGTAATAGTTAATGGATATTTTTGGGTTGGAGGAAGGTTTGTAGTGGAGCTTCCCAGGAGCTGATTTTGGTACTCTTGGCTTTCCTGATATTCATTAATGATCTAGATCCCGATATGAAGGAAACAATTTCTCAGTTTGCATATTATACAAAACTTGGAAACAATGTAAACTGTTAGGAGAGCATAACACTATAAAGGACATTGACAAGTTGATGAGCAAGCAGATAGGCGGCTGATAAAGATCGATGTGGAGAAGTGCAAGATGATGCATTTTGGTAGAAAGAAAAATGGAGAAATAGAATATGGGCTAGAATAAAGGGCTACCCTAAAGGGTGTGGATGAAAGACCTGAATTTATATGTACACAGGTCATTAAAGGTGACAGCACAGATTGAGTGAGCAGTTAACAAAGCATACTGTATCCTAACTTTATAAAAAAATATGAAATACAGGAGCAAGGAGATTATACTGAACCAGTATAATACTCCAGCTTAGGAGTGTGTCATGTAGAATACTGAGTGCCACTCTTCAGGAAAGAGAGTGCAGCAAAGAGGTTTGAGAGAACAGTTCCAAGGATGAGAAATTTCAGTTATGGAGGTGGATGGAAGAAACTGGGACTGTTTTTCTTGGAGAAGAAAAAGGCCAAGACAGTTGATGCAAGCTTACAAAATTATGAGGGGCAGGACAGAGTAGACAGGGAGAAACTGTTTCCTCTTATAAAAGGATTAATAATGACAGGGCACAGATAAATGGTAATATGCAAATACAGCAAATGTCAAAAAAACCTTTTACACACAGTGAGCAGCTAAGATTTGGAATGCATTGCTTGGAAGTCTGGCGGAGCCAGTTCAATTGAGGTATTCAACAAGTCTTTGGGTGATTGTTTAAGTAGAAATAATATCAAAATTATGGAGAAAAGGCAGAAGGATGGATCCAAGTCAAAATGCTCAGGGAGCCAGTGTAGACACAATGGGTCAAATTATATCCTGCATCATAATAATCTCATTTATGTACTGCATGCCTCAATGTTTAATCCAATCAGAGCCCACTAATTAAACTTATCTTGTGACATAATAATATTCAGAAAGCACGCTAAAAAGTGTATAGTACAGACAAGCAAACTTTAAACATTATAACAGTCAAGGACAAGAAAAAATTATACAGTGCATTAAAATCATCCCTATTGTACCCTATTAAAATGTTCCATTGTATTTTGAATGTGCCTATTTTGCCCCTTTACTCTGCCCAAGATATTAGTAATAGTTAAGTTATTGTTAACATCAATTTTCAATGCACTTTTCATTTTAGTTCTGACAAATTATTTAGACTTGCTTGGTCTATATATTCATATTTATGTAGTTCAGAAAAATGCTCAGTTTGTAATCACTCTCATTAGAATTGTGAGGTTCTTTAATCTTCCAGAATAAGACCTCTCTCTTTCACTTCAGCCTGATTTGTATTGCTTTTAACTATTTTCATACTCTACTTAGTTACTAACACTCTCACCCAACAGACGAACGTTCCGTCCTATATTGAAGTTCAAAAGTGAAGCCTGGGATTGTGTGACAAATTAGCTAAAGGAGGAAAAAAATCGGGATTTGTTTATGTGTTTTGGTAGGGTTGGAGGAGCAGTACTGAACCCATGAACTGGTGTTGGCAGCATTATATAAAAAGCAGGACAAATCCAACCCAGCCAATTACTGCCCTATCAGTCTACTCTCAATCATTAATAAATTGATGGAAGGTGGCATCAATAATGCTATCAAGCAGCAATACCTGCTCAGTAGCACTGTGTTTGGGTTCCACCAAGGCAACTCAGTCCTGACTTCATTATAGCCTTGATTCAAACATGGATGAAAGTGCTGGAAGTGCTAAAGGCGCTGTGTTGAAACATCTACCTCTGTTGTTCTTCAGGTTACTTGGCAGGTTTATGTTTAGTTTCAATATCCTAATCAGTATCGTAATTTATAATTATATGACTTAACATCTTTCTCTCTGACCTAACATAAATATCTTCTGTTTTGTAGGGTAACCACATTCTCCTTTAATTAATGGTTTAAATTTCCAAAGTTTCAACTTTATTACTCACCAAGGGAGTCCATTTTTTATGAATCACTTATTGCGTGTGAAATGATATTTGTCCCAAATTTATTTGCTTAAATGTATATCTTTACCTTTCTCTTAATTTGGTTAAAAGTAATCATCCAGATTCACTTTCCTGAAATCATTTATCATTTAACATTGAAGGTTGAAAGCTTTCTGCAGTCTTTTCTCATAAGTCAAACTTTTTAACATATTAGATCAAGCCTTGTAGCTCTGTGTCTTGTGGCTATTCTGCAACTCTTGCTGACACAAGCTCGAAGCATGCTGCACTCCACCTGTTACGAGTTGACCCACAATACCATTCGAAAGGGAATTCCAGGATTTTGACTCAGTGGTAGTGAAGGAATAGCGATATATTTCCAAATCAGGATGGTGAATGGCTTGAGGGGAGCTTTGTGGTAAACTCATGTATCTGCCAGCCTTGTGTCAGCAAGAGGTGCAGCTACAAGGCTTGCCCTAATATGTTAAAAAGTTTGAGTTGTCAGCAAAGACTGCAGAAAGCTTTCAACTTTCAACGTAAGACGATAAACGATTTCGGGACAGTGAATCCGGAAGATTACTTTTGAAGAAATTAAGAGAAGGGTAAAGATATAAATTCAAGCAAATAAATTTGGGATAGCTATCAATTCACATACAGTAAGTGATTAATAAACAAAGGGCTCCCTTAGTGAGTAATAAAGTTGAAACCTTGGAAAGTAAACTGGAACAATAAAGTAGGTTGTAGTTACTTATGATATTTATGTAAGATATTTATGCAAGGTCAGAGAGAAAGATGTTAAGTCACATAGTGATTATTGTTGTGTACATAGTTTCTACCTTACAATACTGATTAGGATATTGAAACTAGACATAAAAATGCCAAGTCACCTGAAGAGCAGTGCAGGTAGATGATGCAGCATAGCATCTCAAACCTGGAATTCAGCTCTTTTGTCCATGTTTGAACCAAGGCTTAATGAGGTCAGGAGGTGAATTGCCCTGATAGAACTCAAACACACTGAGCAGGTTATTGCTGCTTGATAGTATTATCGATGCCACATTCTGTCAATTTACTGATGATCAAGAATAGACTGATGGGGCAGTAACTGGCTGGGTTGGATTTGTCCTGCTTTTATATAGTGCTGCCAACACCTACTTATGGGTCACTCTGTTCAGCACTGCTCCTCCAGCCCTACCAAAACACAAACTTTTTTGTCTCCTTTAGCCAATTTCTCATACAACCCCAAGATTTACTTTTGGACTTCACTTGTTGGCAATCACATGGAAATTTGTCAAATACTTTTTGTAAGACTGAGTACAGCTTGTTGTGGAACTTTCCACAGCCCAATCAAGTTACTGCTTCAAAGCCTATCACCATTGTCACATATTGTATAAATGCCAGGAACAACCTAATGAATTTAGGTCTGTATGGGTAAACTGGGGCATCTCAATAAACCAGAATTATTGTGATTAAATTAATCTTAAATATGCATTACAAAGTACTGCAGAAAAGAGACATTCTATCAAAGCTTTTCGCTTTGCACTCAGTGGGAAACCAATATAAAGGGAAAACTTCTCCTGTATAAAAGAGTGTGCTCATTGGTTAGTAAGTGTGCTCTGATTGTTAGAGGCTTTGCCATTGAGTATACAAGTTAGACGAAGGAAAGCTTTGACAAAATGCATCTTTTTCAGCAATATTCAAGTTCTATACTACCAAATGACTCCACATATTAGAAAAGTATTTTTGCTGTACAATGATGCCCAAATCTTCATACATCAAACATCTTTTCTTGATTACAGCCAAAGTTGAAAATGTATTAATTCAAAAGGATCACAAAACTACACTGGACAATGGGACTTTTATACAGCAAAGCTAGGGTGGACTCCAAAGGCCATATATAAACATAATAGATAATTTATAAGATTGAATGAAACATATATCCTAAATCTTGACAGCAATGGATTAGAAGATTTAATTAGCCACTGGAAAAATTGATTTGTCATGCAACTCCACTTTGGCTCATCTGATTAAGGAAAGAAAACAACTTGATTTTGCAATGAAGTTTTCACATCCTGGGACATTCAAGAAAAATAATATTGGTCAAGGAATAAATGTTGGCCAGGAATGTGGGAGGTGCACATGCCTGTGCATAGGACGAGGATGTGGGGGAGAAAAAGAATTGGCCTTCCTTTGATTCAAATCCTTATCTTGCCTAATTATTAACATGCCCCATTTTCATTGATGTTTTTAAAACAAAGTCTGAACAACTACATCAAGTAGTTTATGACACCTGGGAGATAGGGGAAAAAATCCTCTTGCCCTTTATCAAGGGAAGTTTACACTTGACCAACAAGCAATGTTATTCCCAGAACTGAGAGCGAGACCACATTTTATTTGGTCATTTACTTACCACTCTCCTAACTGAACCTAAACAGTAGAGATCCTATGAAGAACAGTATATTGTATTCAGGGAAGGTGAAACATTACGAAAACAAAACATAATTTTGACATTTACTCACCCTAAGCCATTCCACCATATTTTCTTCTATCTCGCTGTCAGCCGATATGTCCAGGATTAAGCGCCTCGTCAGATGAGCTTTATGGTACCGCATAAAGACATCTTTGTTTTGCACGTACTTCAGTACAAGTAACTGTTAAAAGTAATGTATGAGAATTCAAGCAATGTTTGCAATCAATTTTTCCTTGCTTGCATGGAAATACAATGTCTTGTACCTTGCTCCTGATCTCTGAGAACAGTGTAAGTCAAATCTAAGTTTAAGCCACCCTTGCCAAAAGTGTTGAAAAGGAAAAGAAACTGAGTCAAGAGTGTCATTAAAGAAAAAATCCTTGCCCAAGTGCCTGAACACAACTTAAAACCAGACTTAAATAGTTCAGCACAAAACTAATGAATATGGTGCAAGACAGAAATCAATACTGCTAATTTGATACTCGAGAACAACAAAGTATACTTTGGGATAACCCTATTATTTTCAACTTATCAAGCTCCACAGTACCTCAGGTGCAGACCTGGGATCCTTTTCAATGAGTTGAGGGTTTCCATCTCAACCACCAAACTGGGCATCACTGAAGCTGTTGTAGCATAATCAGTTGAACACTGTATTAGGTAATAGGCATACTGGTTTCCTTTGAAACTTAAAAGAACGATTCTATAGACACAAACATCTCCTATGCATTAACATTCCAGATTTAAAAGGAGACCAAAACATCTAAAGCACATAGGATCAATTTTTGAAGAGGAAAATATCTCTATGGGAAAAATTTGGGAAGTGGGACTAGCTGGATAGTTCTTTCAAAAAGCTGGCACAGCCAGAATGGACTGAATAGCCTCCTTCTGTGCTTTGTAATTATGATTCTAGTTCATCCAACTGAAACAGATTTTGCTTCTATTGGCATGGTTCTATCTGGCCATGGACTCAGGCTCACACTGGTAGTACAGAACTGCAGGAAACAGCTTACAAGCTTTAGGTGGTGGTTGTAGAAGGATTAGACAGGACATGATAAATTTCTCTTTTTTAAAACCCCAGAGAGTTGTGGGTGTCTGTAAGTCATTGTCCAGTTTGGTGGTTGAGATGGAAACCCTCAACTCATTTAAAAGGACCCTGGGTCTGTACCTGAAACAATGTCATCCACAAGGCTACAGACCAGGTGCTAGAAAGTGGGATTATAATGGGTGGCTAGTTTATTCAGCCAGCTTGGACACAATGGTCTGAATGGATCTTTCTGTGCTATAACCTTTATATAGTGCTATGACAAAATGGAAGTTTTGGTTTCACTTGACTTCACATACTTGGATTTGAATGAGAGTTTTAACCAACAATTCAAAACAGATGTCAAAGTTTCATTAAAAGCCAAATGAAACACACTCTTCAAAACAGGCAAAGCACTTTGACGTGCTAATATCTGAAAAATCCAGAGATGATACAAAAAAGGACGTTCCTTATAATCCCATTGGATTAGAATGCTTTTGATAATTAAAAATAATAAAGTGCTTGGACCAAACATCAACTGAATACAGCCAAAATCTGAGAAACGAATTGTCCAACCAAGCAAAAATATATTGTGGTGCTCACCATTAGCACCCTGCAAGATATGGAGTATAAAAACTAGCACATTGTGTTTTAATTTGTTTTGCTACAAAACTCAAAACAAATTGAACACAAATTGCACATTGGTGATTCTTATTAAACAAAAAGACTTGAATTGTCACCTGGATTTAGAGTTTGCAGTTTTCAGAAAATTATGTTATGTCACTGTGTGAAGAAATTTAGATCACTAGATAAACAAATAGCCAGACAGTTAAACCTATAGTGTATCAGAAACATACATACCACTTCTTTTAGCTTTGCCTCTATTTCTTCCGAAGTAAGCTTCTTACTGAGTGGCGTTTTTCTTAGTAACATGTCACAGTAATTTGCTAGTAGCTCTGGGCACTTTGATTCAGGCTGAGTTTTCAACCCAACTCTAAATTTAAACAGCAATATAAAATATTTATGTATTTTTCAAGTAAATTCCAAATTCACAATTAGAAACACAAATGGAGTAAGATTTGGTTTTCCACTAAACAATGTGGATATTGTACTCTGTGATCAGCAGCTGAACATATGTAATATTAGAACAGTTGCTGATACTTTGTCTGTTTCATCCCAGTCATGCATCATGACCATGGTCATAACCACAGCAGGTAGGCAGGAAAATCTTGTTGCTCCAAGCAAGGCAAAGGCCAAACTGAAGGATTTCAAGCAAGGAGTTATTGAAGAAATAGGCACACAGGACAATTACAATGACACAAACTAGACCTTAGAAAGGAAAAGGTCATTAGGAATGGGTTGTAAGTCAGAAAAGGGTTAGTTGTTTGAGAGATCATATGGATCAACTGCGCAGCTTTGTCCCAAGAAGATTCTGAAAGGAGCAGGATAGTTCCTATTCAAAAAGCACCATTAACGATGAGGGAGCAGAAGATGGGTCTCTTGGAAGAGTAGATTTTATGAGAAGAGAAAATGATTACATTTCTGAAAACAATATATTTAATCTACTTCTCTTTCATTCTTAAAATATCCTGCATCCTTAACACATAATGCACAGCCAACTCTACTGCTGAAGCAGATGAGGATTAAATGAGGAGTTTGTGCCAAATGTTAATAATCCTGTGGTTAGTCAAGAGATGGCTGAGATTATCAAATGTAGCTCAGATTGAATTTCACTCATGTATAGCCCATGACAACCTTTGCTCGATGCAAATTAGTTGCTGTCCGAAGGAGACTGCTATTTAAAACTGTGTTGATGGAACCCTAGCTCCATTGCTCTGAAAATTACTTCTACCATATTCCATATTTCATTGCAATTCATTTGAAAATTCTTTACTTCAGGGTACGTTAAAAAAGACTAGCTTTTGCAATGGATCTCAGCAGTTAATGTACTGTTCAGTGGGCACAAATCATTCGACAATATTCTTAAATTAGACTTCTTGATTTGTATTAGGGTAGGATCTGATTTGATTATTATTCAGCGATCTTTGCAGAAAAGTGAAGCTTTCAAAATCAATTTGATGCTGCCCTCTTGTGTATTCCTAATTTTAAAATCAATCCACGTTTGGGGACCATGACTTCAACATGGCTATAAGCTCTGAAGTTCCATCCCTAAACCTTCTCAACTCTCTATTTTTGCTCGCATTAAGGCAGTCCCTAAAACCTACCACTTTGACCAAGCTTTTGGTCACTCGTCTTAATACCTCTTGAGCTTCAATTAATTATGTTTGATAACAATCCTATGAAATGCCTCAGATATTTGCTAAGTTAAAGGCACTGCAAGTAGTAGCTGTTGAGTGCGTTATAAGGTATAGCCACATGGGTTGGGTCCTGAAGTGGTCTTCATGGCAATGGAATTCTACCCTTTGAAAACAGCATCTTCAGGCCACTCTGGATTAACGAAGGAATTAGAAGAGAAAAACTCTAATCTTTAGAGTGGTTGTTTGAAGATGTGTGACTTGCACTAAGTAACGATATTTTCCAAACTGTTCCACTGTGCTACCAATAAAATATTTTTAACAGCCTTTAAATTTTATAAAATTGTTCATTTGCAATAGTATTCTAGAAAAGATCTCACCCTTTCTGCTTCAAAGGCAGTTCAAGCTTAAATATGGTAGCATCATTCACAACTGCTTTATATGCCTGTTTGGAAGACATTTTTCAGATAAAACAAAATTATCAAAACACAGCATAGCAAGTTTTCAATATTTTGACATAGTAAACTGACAAAGGCAACACAGAACAATAAAAATATTACAAGTTATGCTGTTTCTAACTTGTGAAAGAATCTTTACATGCATGTAATTTGTGCTGTACACTCAGAATTCTGTGAAAATGGTAAAATTTGAGGAACAAAAAGTTCTAAGGGCTTCTTAATGTGACTGTTCCAAAACATCAGTTATACTCAATTCTAACTAAGAACAGGGGACAGGATTTGTCGCAAAGTTCAATAGGTCAGTCAAAACAGTTTGGGGTCACTGTAAAGCAGGTCCAAGTTCAAATTGACTGGAGAAAAAAAAAGCAGTGCTGCCCATCATAAAGTCCACTTGGTCTCCACGCTCTACCACTGGGAATGCAACTGTGTAGAGGACTCAGGGAGAAGTCCCAACAACAGGTGGATATCTCTCAGCTGTTACAACTCAGGAAGAAGCTCCAGTAGTGAATTAAGTGTTGGATTCAGGGCTTCGAAAAAGTCGTGGAATCTATGAAGGCTTAGAAACTGTGCCATTAATAGGTCAGTACAGCTGACAGTGTGGGTTGAAAAGCCCACAAGCAGTATTTTGAGCCGTGCCTGTGAATACTTACTGAAGTGCAGTTTCTAGCGTCAAGGAAGAGGAGTTGTTTTGCGAAAGGAGAGTGGTCAACCATAACAGGAGTAGTCATCGAAGAAATCCTTGATAGAACAGCTTGTGAGGGGGAGTTTCAAGGCTAAGCCATGAAGAATTGTTATCCCTTGTGAAGTTTAGATTTGATGACCCATTGTGTCATTAAAATCAGGAGGGAATGACTGAGAAATCTGTAGGATCTATCTCGACAGCATTTGCTACTTGATGTGCACTGTGAGCTGTTGTATCACAGTCTACTATACATATTTAGTACATGTTAATGCTGGGCATCAGAATACAAGTTGCACCTGCATTGTAGATTGTATTACTGCTGTAACCTTGTATAGCAAAGTTTATTGTTGTTTGTTCAAAACCATGAAACCTCATGGCTTTATTTCTTTGTTAAGTCCCCTGGATTTTACATTTGGCCATTTGAAAAATAAATACTATGGCTCCTAGCCAGACTGCAACAAATTTGGTGGTCTGGTCCTGGATCGTAACAAACTACATCACCTATGTTTGAACCATTCAACAACCAGGTTAAAATCTATAGGTCTACATTAACAGTTTGCTACACAGATACAAGTACCTTTTTAAAAGAACTTTAAGTCAGCTTTCAAAAAATTTCTAAATTTGGAAAGTATCCAAATCCTCAATATTAAAGCAAATATCCACTTACTTTATCTCTAGCAGTAAGAAAACGAGGGTCATCTTGAAATGCTTCTTTTACCAACTTACTAAATCGATTAAACAATGTAAGCAACTGCTCAACGTATTTTTCAGAATCCTGCAAGAGGAAAAAAAAATTGTTTTATGTTAAAAAGCGCAAACTAACACGCAGAAAAACATAAGAAGCAAGAGCAGAAAGAGGCCATTCAGCCCCTCAAGTCTATTTCTCTTCATCAGCAAGATCGTGGTTTCTCTGATCGTAGCCTCAGCCCCACTTTTCTTTCTGCATCCCCATAACCCTGTACTTCCTTGACAATCTAAACTCTAAATAAACCCTGAATATATTCATTGACCCTCTGCTGTTCTCTGGGAAGGACAATGCCACAGACTAATGACTCCCAGCAGAGTGGGGGCGAGGGGTGTGGTGCTGTGGCCTCAAATCCTTCGTTTATACTTGCTTAACCTTACAATAAATGTCAACATTACTGTTGCATTCAAATCATTGCGGTAGCTGCATGATTTGAATCACAGAAGTTGATATATGTACCAGGTTTCCCAGATCCTCTTTTAAAGTAGAGCTTTGCAGTCTCTCCATTTAACTTAATTTACTGCTTTCTAATCTTTCTGAAATAGACAAGTCACATTTACCACATCGTACTTCATCTGCCAAAATTTTGCCCATTTATCCTTTATAAATTCCTTCTGCCCACTTGACAATTGCATCATCAGCAAATTTAGCTACTAGAGATCTGGTCCCTTCATCAAGTCATTAACATAGATTGCAAATGGTTGAGGTCTCAGCACCAATTCTTGTGGCACACCACAAGCTACAGCTTGTCAAGCTGAAAATGACCTATCTGTCCCTATTCTTTGCTTCCAATCAATCTTCAATCTATGTTAGTACATCATCTGCCACACCACGAGTACTTATTTTGCCAAGAATTTTTGGTGTGGCGATTTATCGAATGCCTTTTTCACACGAGCATACACTGCTATGGACATGACATTTGTACTCGAGTATCTTCATCATTTCTATTTCATCCTACTGATACTTCATCACAATACCAAGTGAAATTGAAATTACATGTTTGTCTCTAAGTTACAAATCATTTGGCAATAGAGAATAGAGAGCTCACAGAAGTATCTGGAGATCTTTAATTAATTCAGACAGGTTTACAACCTGGAAGACATTTTAATGTAGGAGCAAAAGCTACAAGTGCAACTCAACTGATAATCTGACTTCCAAAATGTAATAACTGAACACTATCCTTGGCATATGGTCTTTCAAGAATTAACTTTATTCAGTTATAAAAACTGAATTAGGAACAGTTTTTAATGCTTGAGGTTTTGCAGTTTATCAATGGTGAAATATTGCAATAGGGGCTATATTAGTATTTTTCTGCTCTTCTAAAGTCTCCTTACATAAAGGATTTTCATACCTTTAAACCATGAAAAGGAAAGAAAACAAAAAATCACTCCAACTGTTCTAACGTATCCCATGAGGTTGTGGAAAGTTAGGGAGGAAATTGCAGAGCACCTGGCAGAAATATTTGTATCATCTATAACTACAGGTGAGGTGCCAGATGACTAGAGAGTGTCTAATGCAGTGCCTTTGTTTAAGAAGGGATGTAAGCAGAAGCCAAGGAACTGTAGACCTGCGAGTGTGACTTTGGTGGTGTGCGAGTTGTTGGAGGTGATTCTGAAAGAGAAAATTGAAATGCATTTGGAATGGCAAGGAATGATTAGGGATAGTCAGCATGGTTTTGTGTGAGGGCAATTGCATTTCACAAACTTGATTGAGTTTTTTGAGGAAGTAACCAAGAAGACGGAGGAGGGCAGAGCTGCAGACATTGTTTACTTAGACTTTAGTAAAGCCTTTGACAACGTTCTGTGTGGTAGACTACTTAGTAAAGTTAAATCACTTGGGATTCGCTTGCCAATTGGATACAAAATTGGCTTGATGACAGGAGACAGAGCGATAGTGGAGGGTTGTTTTTGGGACTGGAGGTCTGTGACCAGTGGTAATCCACAGGGATCGGTGCTGGTTTGTCTTTTGTTTGTTACTAAAATAAATGATTTAGATGAGAACATAGGAGGCATGGTTAGTAATTTTGTGGATAACACCAAAATTGGCGGTTTAGCAGACAGTGAAGGAGGTTATCTAAGATTACAAAGAGATCTTGATCGATTGGGTCTATGGGCTGAAGAGCGGCATATGGAGTTTAATTTGGATAAATGCGAGGTATTACATTTTGATTAAAGAGAAAACAAGGGCAGGACTTGCACAATTAAAAATAGGGCCTTGGATAGTGATTTTGAACAGAGACACCTAAGGATTCAGGTACATAATTCTTTGAAGTTTGCATCACATTGGTTAAGAAGGTGTTTAGCATGCTTGCCTTCATTGCTCAGACCTTCGACTACAGAAGTTGGGACATTATATATGGAGGTTGTACGGGACGTTGGTGGGACCTCTTCTGGAATACTGTGTTCAGTTCTGGTTGCCCTATTATAGGAAGTATATGATTCATTTGAAGAGGGTTCAGAAGAGGTTCAGCAGGATGTTGCCAGGACTGGAAGGTTGGAGTTTAAGGAGAGGCTGGGTAGGCTGGGACTTTTCCCACTGGAGCATTGGAGGGTGAGGGGTCTCTTTATAGAAGTTTGTAAAACAATGAGGGATATAGATAAAGTGAATGAAGTTGTTGGTTTGCTCACTGAGCTGGCTGGTTGTCATTTGATAACCAGCCAGCTCAGCTAGCAAGCCAACAACCTCATCCACAACCGGAGCTACACATCTTCGCACAGCATCTTAACAAGGTAAATGGCAGGTGTCTTTTACCTAGAGTGGGGGAATTCAAGATTAGGGGGCATATTTTTAAGGTGAGAGCAGAAAGATTTAAACAATACATGAGGGGCAATTTTTTTTAAACACAGAGTGGTTCATGTGTGAAATAACTTCCAGAGGAAGTGGTGAATGCGGGTACAGTTACAACATTTGAAAGACATTTGTATAGGTACATGAATACGAAATGTTTGCAAGGATATGGGCCAAGTGCAAGCAGGTGGGACTAGTTTAGTATGGGAGTAAGGTCTGAAGGGTCTGTTTCTGTGCTGTATGACGCTATAACTCCGTGAACTGTCACTCTGTGAGTACCTCTACCTAATTTATATGAAAAGATCACAATATATCTTTAAACGATTGTAGGTGAATGGCTTCTCAATGTGTTTTACAGGTTCTTCGAAATCTACAAGTGAAAGCTGATAATTCAATTTTCCATCCAAATGTTAGTCCATTGCATATTTGGGAATTCCTGACAAAACCAAGGGAAACACCAAGTTATCCCAAGTGACTCTTATACACCTTGCAGGGGTCACCTTAATGTTGTTGAGAATAGTCTGAGAGTATGCGCTGCATAGGTCCAGTAAGTAAAGGGAAAGCGAAGAACTTTAGTTAACAGGCACCTTTAAATACTTACAGTAGTGATGGTCTCTGCAGCTGCTACCATATCTGCCAATCCAGCACTAATAATGTGCTCTTCCAAATCTTTTAACATTGGCTCAATCCCATTTGGAACTTTATCCATCAATGTAAACATCAAGTGTAGCTCTGCAGAAATGAACAAACTCATCAACATCTAATATAACATATGTCATTATTTCTGGCTTTGTAGACTCAACTCTTCCTTCATTTATTAATTAAGTCTTCCAACCTATCATAAATCTTCCTTTTGTCCTTACCCCACCCATCCCTATTACATTTTTAAATTTTCCCCTGTTCTGACAATAAGTCACGTTCTGTAATTTTAACTCGTTTCTCTTGCCACAGATGTGGCCTGCAAGATTATTTCCAATATTTCCTGTTTTTACTTCAGATTTCCAGCATCTGCAATGTTTTGATCAGAAACAGAACTAAGTTCTGAAGAAGGGTCACTGGACCTGAAATATTAACTCTGTTTTCTCTCCACAGGTGCTACCAGACCTGAGTTTTTCCAGCAATTTCCATTTTTGTTTCTGATTTCCAGCTTGCTACACATATAGCAAGTTAAGAAATATTTTAGATTAGTATTCCATATGGCTGATAAAGCCAGGTCATTTGTTGAAATCATTATTTCTAAAATCAATAAAAGTGAATAAATATTTCTAAATACTCAGAATACAGATTAATTCAGTTATTTTTAACTTTATATATAGATCCAGATCTTAATAACTTATACATTTTTAGGTACCAGCTTCATAGTTCACTATCATGTTTTGTTTTTAAGTATGATTGGCTCAATTTATGAAGAAATAAACTCCACAATTTTGTGTATCTACTAAATCACTGTCTGACATGTTAGTGTACAATTCAAATAAACATTTAAACTAAAAAAAGGACTTACTGGTTGAGATTACATTTGTTGCCATGCAATAGCTTCATACAAAATAGGCTACTGAATCAGAACTGCTTTGAATTTAACTCATTTAGAATCAGAATGGTGGCCACAATTCAAACTTGGCACTGTATGAACTTGAATGAAATTTGCCTTTAATAATACCTGCAAGGACATTATGCGCTTGCAAATGCAGCACAGACACAGCTAGAAGTAAATAATTTTTTTTTTACATTGCCGGTAGTTGGGCACGGTCGATATGGAAAACAGAAGCATTTCCCTTTCATGGAGGGCAGCTTGATAGCTTGGCAGTAAGCACTGCTGCCTCACAGTGTCAGGAATCCGGGTTCAATTCCAGCCTTGGGTTACTGTCTGTGTGGAGTCTGCATGTTCTCATGATATCTGGGTGAATTTCCTTTGGGTGCTCTGGTTTCCTCCCACAGTCCAAAATTTTGCAGGTTAGGTAGATTAAGTGGATTGGCCATGTTAAATTCCCTGTAGTGTCCAGGGATGTGCAGACTAGGTGGGTCAGCTATGGTAAATGCAGGGTAACCAGGAAAGGGTGGAGGGTGGGATGCTCTTTGGAGAGTGAATGCAGACTCAATGCACTGACTGACCTCTATGTGCACTGTAGGAATTTTATGATTCTATAAGCTTGATCAGAAAAAGCATAAAAATGCTGTACAATCGTTTGGCAGTCTAATGGAAGACTCTTCAACTCATAACACATTAATTGACTTTCAGATATGAAGAGCTCTGAATTTCCAGACAGTACCATAATATTCAATGCGAAGCTTAAAAGAAAATTATATTTTAGTAGGTTGCAGGCATTCTTCTGGAGAATTTCTTTCGGAGAATTTTGACTCAGGAAGTCGAGAATAAGAAAGTGAAAAGTTGGGAATCTTTGTCCCAAAAGGTTGACCAGTTGTCCAATTTAAGAAGCAAGATAAAGCACAGCTAAAATAAAAGGAAACTGAAAATGCAGAATGGCCAGAACAAAAAAGCAAAGAAGTAACTCTACCAAAATATCATACATACAGCTGCAATTTTATTTGAATAGAAGCTTTAAATTTTGACCCATGTAAATAATGATAGAACAATTAGCACTTTTACTGCAGTGTGGAAGCATAAAACAAATATTTTGATTGGTCATCATGTAACCATTTGGAATAACCGTAAAGAATAATTTGTACATCACAACCTAATTAATGTAAATAAAATCAATAATTACAATTTTACTCACTATCTGTCTCATTACGTTTGATCATGCCTGGGCATTCAGCTAGAATTGTTTCCTTAAATGAAGTCACCAGGGCATTCACACAGCACTCCATCAGCTGAAATAAAACTCTTACAATTAACACAGTTTTTTCAAACATTTTTCATTGGAGTCAGGACTATAACTAATCTGTGGTATTTGCACACTCAAAAAGCTAGCCAGGTCTTTCTGAAATGTCATTACATCCTTTCTCTAATATGATACAATTGCAAAATTTGCATACTCAAATTAAATTAAAAGACCATAAATAAAGAGGAGAAAGAAACAATAATTCCAAATGTAAATTACGTCTGCTTAGTTTGTCTCGTAAGGAAGCGTACTTCCAAATGTAGGATGGAAATCTCACTACATTAATATCCACTTCTCTTCTCCACTGCCACACAGCAGCTTAATCCATCCCATCTTCTCCCAGACCAGCCAAAACACCAATAATTACTGAAGGCCATTCATGTATTTATTAGTAACTAAGCTTGAGACCACTTGCTAAGCTTCTTCTTTCCCCTTTGCTTTTAACTACAGGCCAAACCATACTCCAGCCCATGGCTCCCCCTTACCCTAAGCATGACAGAGTGTCTTTCTCAACTTCTTTCCTGATGAATCAGCCTTGGCTCAGCTGATAGCACTCACACCTCCAAATCAGAAGGTTGTGGGTTCAAGATTTACAGTTAGAGTGCAAAAATCTGGCTTGACACTTCATAAACTAAGGGAATTCTGTCCTTTTCAAGGTTGAGATTTTCAGCTGAAATTTTTTATACAATTCCTCAAGAACTCTCTCATAATATTTTATAGTACTATTTTGTCCCTCAATCAGCATCACAAAAACATTGCCACATGGCTGCTTTTTTTAAAACGAGAGTTTGTTGCATGCATGTGCAACTGTTGGGCAAGAAAGTTTTATCTTGTTCAATCTAATTTAGTTTATAGTTGGCATTAAAGTGAAACCTACAGTTCAAATTTTGTTGTTGCCAGCCTTAAGTAAGGTTTTATCAAAGCTTGTGGTGAAAGAACAGCTTAAGAACACACTGAAACTGGATCCTTAAGTTAGTCAGAAGAGCCTTTTATCTCAGGAGGATAAAGAAGTAACCAGTGATTTTTTTGGCACAGTATTAGTGTCCCTGACGCTAGGCCAAAGAGACACACGTCCCCGAGATGTGTCATAACATGCCCAAATAGGTTGGTTTAAAAAACGTGAAACTAGCCAACTTAATGCTATTTAGCACTTAAGTGTAAAAGCTAAATGATTATAGGTGTTCAAGGAATGCAGAGGAAGAGGTATTCTATAACTTTCGTTTCTTCTAAACTTCTTTAGCCTCAGGAATTTTTTCTTAGTCTGGAACAGGAGAAGCAGCAAATTATGTGGCGATTATCTGATAAGCGACTAAGGCGCATTCAATCCCTAAGGTTTAATATACTTTATACAACTAGTTGCTGAAAGTTCTTGTGATGTAGTCTCCCTACCTCTGGGCCAGAATGTCAGGGTTCAAGTCTCACCTGCCTTGGAGGTGTTTCATTATATGTCCAAATAGGTTGATTAAAAATATTTGTAGTTAATTAGTGGTAAGGCGAATAAAAAGATAAAACATTACAAAACATACAAATTAATTGATCAGTCGCTTAGAACACATTAAGGATGGCAGGTCAGGTGATATGTCACAGTTGTAGCACATGGGAGTTCCTGGGTGTCACTGCGAGCAAAAGGTCTGCGGCAAATGTTTGAAGTTTGACCAGCTTCAACTCAAGAGTTAACAAGCTGAAGGCTGCACCATAGGCATTGTGACACACCAGTTTTGGAACAGGAGGCAGTCACACATCTGAGGATAGAGTGATCTGATTTGGTCAATGTTCAGGGACAGGAGAATGTGACTGCAAACGAAGCAGGTAAGGGAACTCAGAGGGCAGGAACATCAGCGTTTTCAATTGTCCAACAGATTTAAGGTTCTTTCAGCTTGTCTGGATGTGTATGGTGAATGAGCTAACTGACCATGGTACAGAGGAGGAAGTAAGAAGAAAGAGCAGTGGTAGGAGTCAGTGTGGGAAGAGGGGTGCGCGGCGGGGGGAATTGATACATTATCTGCCAAGAGCACTGGTTCAGACATTTGTGTTGCCTGCCTGGTGCCAGGGGTTGAAACAATTTGCAATTGAATTGGAAGGATTCAGTTGGTAGAATCCATGTAGGTAGCAACAACATAGGCATGACAAAGAGAAAGTTATCCCTTAGTCAGTATGAGAAACTAAATGCCAATGTAGGAAGCAGAACCACAAATGTCATAATCTCTGCATTATTACCTGAGCCACTTGCAAATTAGCATAGGGCAAATCAGATAAGAGAGATGAATGTGTGGCGCAAAGACTGGTCTGGGAAGTGTTCCTCAATAGTCCATGCCCGATGAACCAGAACACGTCTCCCATATCAGCAATAAATCGGTGGATCAGGAGGTAGGAACTACACAGGAAAAATGACAATCACAATCACAAGAGAAGTGATACCAAGTAAACTTGTGGAGCTGCAGGCTGACAAGTTCCTGGGTCCTTATAGACTGCATTCTTGGTCTTAGAAATGGCTGGTTAGATAGTTGACATGTTGGCTTTAATCTTCCTAAACTCTCGATTCTAGGATGGACCCAACACACTGGAGTTTTGTGAAGGTAACTCCTTTATTCAAACAGGGAAGATGACAGAAAGCAAGAAAGTAAGAAACTACAGGTGAGTTGACTTATCTTATATAAATGGACAAAAGGTATGGTTGCCGAATTTGCTGACAATCAAAGAAAGATAGGAAAGTAAGTATTAAAAAGATATAAGGATGCTACTAAAATATATAGATAGGTTAAGTGAGTGGGTATAGTTGTGGTAAATGGTGTAGGATGTGGGAAATTTTTTTTGTTCTTCCTGCTAAAATTGATAGTATATTACCTTAATGGTGAGAGATTGCAGAGGTCTGAGACGCAAATGCAATATTACATTCTATGAAAGCTTCTTTCTCTGTTGGCCAATCCGAGTGAAGATATTTCCCATCTCAAAGGCTAACCCCTTATCTTGAGACCATAATCCCAGATCCAGACTCTCCAACCAAGGGAAAAATTCTCAGTATCTACTGTGTCAAGCTTTCTTAAAACTTTGCACATTTGAATAAGATCATCTCTCATTCTTCTAAATCTCAGAACAATGACAGATTCTAGATATTTACTAAGCAACCTGTTCAGAGGTGATATCACATACCTCAAGGACAGACTTGAACCAAGCACTCTTGGACCAGAGGTAGAGACACTACCAATGCATCACCGGCACCCCCAGTGACAAATTCCACTCAATTGCTCCCAATAGGTGCCAGCTGTGACTCAGTTGCTGGCATTCTCAGATATAAATCAGAAGGTTCTGAGTTCAAGTTCCACTCCAGGACTAGAGCACAAGCATCAAGCCTGACAGTTTGGTGCAGAACTAAGAGAGTGCTACATAATCAGAGGTGTTATTTTCCCCAGCATTAAACTAAGGCCCCACCTGCCCTATACAGTGAATGTAAAGTTTACAAGGCATGATCTGTTTAAGAGAGTTTGCCATAATTCTTGGGATAACAGTGTCAACATGTAGAGAGTATTAATTGCCTGCAAAGTACTTTGGTATGTTCTGAGGTCATGAAAGGCACTATGTAAATCAAAGCCATCCCTGACCTCCAGAGAAACCCCCTCGTCACAGGTAACAACTAGGTACCTGTGCCTCTCCAACCACTTCTTTAGGTAAAGAAACCGAAAACTGTACACAGTAATGCATTTCACAAAAGCCCCATCTTTACACGTGCACTCAAATTCCTTTGCAACAAACACTAGCGTATCATTTGCCAGTGCCATAGTGAGGAAGGACAAAGGATAAGGCAGTTATTCTTCCACAGGCAGAGGAAAGTATCCCATTACTACTTCAAAATAAAGGGCACGTAGAATAACAACTGGTTTATGCTTTATGCTTTACATGTTCTTCCCCTGCAACTTAATGGAGCATGGACAAGGTAAGTCAGAATGAGCCCAAAAAATTGCAGGGGATGATAAGAAGTTTGAGGATGACACAAGGATTGGCCAAGTGGTAGACAGTGAGGAAAAAAGGTCTTAAGTTAGGAGGAGGATATAGACAAATTGGTCAGATTGGCAGATGGAATTTAACCTGATAAGTGTGAGGTGAAAGAAGTGACAAGGCAAGGTAGCACTCAATGAATGGAAGGACAATAGCAAGCTCAGAGGGAAAAAGGGATCTTGGTACTTGTACACAGATCCCGGAAGACAGTAGAATATGTTAATAGGGTCATTAAGACAAGATGCTTGAGTTTATCAGTCAAGGCAGAGATTATAAGGACAGGGTTATGTTGGAGCTGTACAAAACTTTGGTTTGGCCACAGCTGAAGTACTCTATGTTCTGGTAACCACACTATAGGAAGGATGTGATTGCATTGGAGGGGATGCAGAGAAGATTCACCAGGATATCGCCTGGGACATTTTAGCTAAGTACAGAGTCTGGATAAGCTTGGGATGCTTGACTTTAAGAGCAGAGAGGCTGAGAGGGGTCTGATAGAGGTGTATAAGATTATGTGGAGCGTGGACAAGGTGAACAGAAAGCAGCTGTTCCCCTGAGTTGAAGGGCTGATAACAAGGGAGCATAATTTTAAACTTATAGACAGGAGGTTTCGGGGGTATTTGCGGAAAAATCTTTTCACCTAGAGGGTGGTGGAAATCTGGATTGCACTACCAGGGAGGGCAGTTGAGGCAGGAAATCTAACCACCTTTAGAAAGTACTTGGATTAGCATTTGAAATGTCATAACATTCAAGGCTATGTGCCAAATGCTGGAAAGTGGGACTAATGTAGATTTACAGTAGTATGTCAGTGCAGACTTGGTGGACCAAAGGACCTATTCTGTACAGTATGATTCTATGGGAGGAGAAAGTGGAACACTGAGAAGATACTGTAAGATAGACAATTTGTAATTCCAAAAGAAATACTTACAGCCTGAACAGAGTTGCACTCTCGTCTAGTTTCTAAGTATCGAAGTGCCCTCTTCTCCTCTTCTTTTAATTTAGCATCTGCCTTTAAAAGAGATTTTACACATGTTTAATACAGAACCATTTTATTTTATTCCTCCTTCCCTCTTAGGCATGTGAATTCCATTTATGGATACGGCTGCTGTTATCTGCAAATTAGCACTCAGGAGACATAAATGAAAATCTCCATTGACAATGCCTGCTTTGACCTTTGGATATCAATTTACAAAAATGCACATGTACAGCAAGTATCACTTGATTATGGTCAATAGAGAAAAGTCCTGTATGACTGTTCTTTCTTTACCTAATGCTATGCATGGAGATTAAATATATGGCCCTTACTGACACCCCAGCTGAAATCAATTCCATTATAACAATGACACTTTTTAAGAACTGCTATTTTTCTCAAATTATGCCATTAGTTTACTTACAAATAATGGCATTTCATTCATAGTATTTAACTTACATATTTCATGTAATTTTGTACACCATTTTGTTGCAAGTAAGATGGAGCCTGTGTCCTGTAGAATCTTTCAGTTGAATCTAAATAAGCCTTTTCAAAATTATCACGATAAATTTGAAGCTTGTCTTCTGGATTTGAACAGAGGTTGACTGCAATTCAAGAAAAAATCCAGTAAAGAAACATTTTGCATAATAATTTTTGCAACATTTGTAGTACTCTAAAATTAAAAACTTCATGCACTTAATTGCTAGTATGAGCCAGCTCCCAAGTGTCAATTCTTGTAATGTCAACAGATTTTATATAGCTTTGGAACATTGTCTTTCAACTGATTTAGGGAGAAAATTTCCAATAATTAGGTGAAATTTAATCAGCATCAAGCTGTCAACCATTCATAAATGGCTCTACTGGACAGGATATGTTATCCATATGTCTGACACCAGATTCTGAAAACAACTAGCTCCATTCAGAACTCAGTTACATCTGAACACTCCTAGGATGAAAGAGGAAATGCTTCGAGGATGGCTTCAAAGCATCCCTGAAGAAGTCAAACACACCCATGGACTTATGGGAGTCCCTGGATTTTGACCAAAAAGAAATAGAACATTAATTTGGAAAGTCACTGATAACAGACTTTGTTGGGAACAAGAAGTGCAATTAAGAAGCTGGAGGGAGTGAATAAACTTCCAAATAATCTACCTGCCAAACCGTTCAAGTACCATCTGCCCCAAATGTGGCACAGTCAGCAGACTGATCACACACAGGACTCATCAACTTTCTCAGAATCCAAACTGAATTGTAAATAGGTATCCTTGATTATGAAGGACTGCCTTAGAGAAGAACCACACAGTATATCTTTATGTAGAAATAATGACTTTTTCCTAAAAGACCACATAAAAATATCACTCAGGAGCTGACATATAAAACTCTAATTTATGAGCTAGCCAAAATTCAATATTCTGTACAGAATATCTTGCCAGTTTCAGACAGTTTTTTAAATTAAATTATTTGTTTAATCCAGGAGAAATACTTTACTTACAATAAAGTCTTACCATATGATTCTCTGACTCCAATGACCAGCTGAGAGTCAAAAGCTTCTCCTAGTCTTTCAGCATGAACTAACTTCATTGCACTATCTTGAAGACGATTCTTAATATTTGAGAAAATCGACTCATTCCAGGTGTCAAGCATAAGCTGAAAAAATTAAAACTCAGCATGTAGTGAAGATTGCTTTTCAAGTTCTACTTAGTTTTGTTAATGATTGAACAAATTTTAATGACACTATTGACTTGCAGTATTAAATCTGGAAGTGGCACTGTGACTGGAAGTTTAATATTGTAAGGGACCAGCCACAGAACATTACCTAAACGTTACCCTTACTGTTTCAGTGATCTGACTCAGAATAAGGATTGACCTCCACCAGAAACACTAACAGGTTATATACGAATGTGAAATTCCAAATTTCTAAGCCTATGTGATGACCATAGCCAAAAGCATGTGGTAAGTTAGCAAACAAAAAAATTAAAAATTCAAGTCTCCAGCTCAATCATACTTACTGCATTCTTGTTCTCAGTATGCATAATGAATCCCATCTACCTAACAATTCTACATTATTTGTTTTAACACACCTACGCGAGTGTCGTGTCTGAATTTGGATATGAATACCTGTATTGGTCCATGACCTTATTGTGGTATTTTAGTCTGGTATTCTTCACAAACAGGCATAAATCTAAAGAGATGCATGAGGGAATCTAGAGGTATTCACACCTGCAGCAAGATTTAATTGTGTCAGACCTTCCGTTTGTTAGGTTTGACCTGGATGGATATAAATTGCAGCGTAACAACAAACGGCTAATCAACTGAATAACTTAACATTATGAGCAAAATTGAACCATGCATTCAATACTTTATCATGCACCTTGACAAACAAGACAAAGCCAATGGTCAAACTCCTACACCCTCCATACCGTTTATTTACCGTCAAATTTTACTTGTGAGAGAATGAAGGATTCCACTGTGATTCTTTGATGTTACGTTCATGTGACGGCCTGCCATATTTCTCAGAAGCAAACCGTTCTACTACCGTGAGAATCTTTAGGTTTCGTTATCCCTCTCTGGTACCAGTATCATCTCTGCTGTGAAACTGAAGGGATGTCTGAATCACTGGAACACAATTTCAAGTGTCTCATGTTTTTTGCCAATGTCTGATTAAATGTGGTTCTCAAGGCTGGGCATACAAAAATCCCTGTTCGTACTGCTTGAGTATAAAACACCATCAGCTGTATGAGGTAGAAAGTGCAGCTTTGTGGATGAGTTCTGCCGTATTTTTAAAAATTGGGACCAGCATAACTAATGTGTTTTTAGGAGTTTTTGATAATATTGAGTGGTAATACAACTTTGGGATGATGTTTATTGTATTTCTATTGCTTGCATTGGACAAAGAGCGATTGTTATTAAACTAGAAACCTAGTTCCTGAGCTTCTCTTCCCAATAATTCTCGGGTACTCCTGCTAATGGGTCCATCTGAGGTTTCATATTTTTCTATTTCTCCTGGTGGGACATAGCTATGATCTCTTCCTAGAGTCTCCAGTTCTTCTGGTGGTTATAGAGAAAAGTCTTCCTCAAACATTAGAGTAAAAATCCCTTTATTTGTTGATGTTAAAACAATTATTGTTGTAAAATAATTGCACAACTTTCAGGTTACGCACCAACCCACCATGTGAGTCACTGAGGACAACAATATTATTCATGAAGGTCAGGACAGAGAAATTAAGTCTTACCACCAGGGACAAATAGATTCTTCAGTTGCTCTTCTGGAGGGCACGTGCCAAGGTGAAGTTGAAGAGTATAGGTGATAAGAGGGCATCTTGTTTCACACCCCTTTCTATTTTGATTGGGGAATTCTTGCTGCTGTTACCTTCAGTTATGGTAGTACTATTTGGGTATTAACGTGATAATAATGGTGTAAATTCCAAGGAGAGTTTAACTTTATACAATAATTTGAAAAGTATTTAACACTGAACTGAACTGATCACGTTGACAAGATCTGCAAAAGCCGGATCTGTATATGCTTATTATTATTATGTGATAGAAAAATAAAATAGGAAAACAGCCTGACCATGGCTAACAAGAGAAATTAGGGATAGTATTAGAATGAAGGAAGAGGTATACAAATGGGCCAAAAAAGCAGTAGACCTGAGGAATGGGAGCAGTTTGGATTTCAACAAAGGAGGACAAAGAGATTGATTAAGAAGGGGAAATAGAGTACGAGAGTAAGCTTGCAGGGAATATACAAACTGACTGTAAAAGCTTCTACAGGAATGAGAAGAGAAAAAGATTAGTGAAAGTAAACAAAGGTCCCTTACAACCATAAAAAAGGGAGTTATAATGGGGACCAAAAAAAGATGGTAGAGCAATTAAACAAGTACAAATCTGTCTTCACAAAGGAGGACACAAATGCATTCGAAAAATGTTGGGCACCACGGGTCTTGCAAGAGGGAGGAATTGAAAAACAAAAATCAGTGTTAGTAAGGAAATGATGTTGGGGAAATTGATGGGATAAGAGGCTGGTAAATCTCCAGGGTCCGATAATCTACATTCTGGAATACTTAAGGAAGGGGCCCCTAAAAATAGTAGATGCATTGATGATCAGCTTTCAAGATTCTATAGACTGTAATAGTTCCTATGGATTAAGGATAGCTCATGCAAACCCACTATTTAAACAAAAAAACAGAGAAAACAGGGAATTATAGACCTTGAACCCATTTCTCCCACACCAATCACTGAGCCACATGTTTATTTTCATAATCTTGCTGACCTTGTGTCAATCAGCTCGTGGCTCAGGTAGTAATCCGGAGATTACGTTTTTGGTTCTGCTTTCTAATTTAACCCGTAGCTCCTCTTAATTCCCTCAGCAGAATCTCTCTTCCCTGACTATACTATTTCTGATTAAAACTACGTTTTTTCTTTTCTCCCCTATCTTAAATGGCTCCCTGTCCTATGGTGCTTTGGTCAGCTTGCTAATCTTCCCTATAGTTCTTGCTTTCGTCCACAAATGGAGCAAGAATCTTGAACCCCACTGGACAAGGACAAGGGCTGATGCTCCTTCAGCACTACCTCTTGGATCTCTCTACCTGCTTCACCCTTCTATTCCCTAACCACTAGCTAAATTCAGGGTAGTTAATCTAAGGTATGTGACAGTCTCCTAAAACAAAGAATGTCCAAGTAATACCTTCCCCTCCCTGACATATTGCAGTGCTGAAGGCTCAGAATCAAGCTCATCAACACTGAGCTGCCGTTTCTTGCGCGGCCAACACTTGCTGCAGATGTGGTCATTATAAACCAAAATGGGGTCCAACAGCTCTCACATCATGCAGGTACAACATATCACATGGCCTGGATCTCTATTCTATTTAATTAATTTTGAATTTGTTTTTTAAATAACTGAAGACCAGTAGGAAATTTAATCTGCAAAATATTATTCCTTTTTACTTTTACTCTGAAAGCAACTTACAATAGGCAAATTAGCAGTTATGTATCAATAACTTACAGTATTACAGTAGTATAAAAAGTTTACAATAATCTAAAACAGTATAAAGTAGAATCAATTAAAGATTATCAATCAGCTGCCTGTTCATCCTGGGCATTGTGACGTTAGCGCCGAAGCTCTGCCCCTGGACTGCATCAGCCACATGCTCACCAATTCACCACTATTTTAAATGGTGAAACTTCTGACTCACCTCTTACACTTTTAAACTTTCAAGAGCAGATGCATTTGGATAAATGTGAGGTTATCTACTCTGATAGCAAAAACAGGAAGACAGATTATTATCTGAATGGGGATAGATTAGGAAAGCGGAGGAACAACGAGGTCTGGATGTCCGTGTACACCAGTTGCTGAAAGCAAGCATGCAGAAACAGCAGGTGATGAAGGTGGCAAATGGTATGGCATCCTTCACAGCGACAGGATTCGAGTACAGGTAATTCTGCTATAATGCGTGTCTCGTTAATGCCAATTGGCTATAATGCAACTGATGAATGGTGGACGCTGCTGGATAACTCGAACTTTCTACTGTACAGTATAATGATTTTCTATAGCAATTTCTCTATAACGTGATTTTCTATGACGATTTTCTATAGTGCAAGGTCGCAAAAGAACGCAACTATTGTGTTATTGGAGAACTAACTGTACAGGAACAGGGATATTTTGCTGCAATTGTACACAGCCTTCGTAAGACCACACCTGTAGTACTCTGTGTAGGTTTGGTCTCATTATTTGAGACAAGGTGTTCTGACTATGGAGGTAGAACAACATAGGTGTATAGGCTTATTCCTGGGATGGCAGGAATGACGTATAAAAAGGGACTGGATCGATAAGGACCATATTCACTGGAAGAATTCACTGGGTGGGAGATCTCATAGAAACCATAAAATTCTAACAGCACGAGTTGGAGTAAACCCGTAGAGAAAATTTTCCTGATGATTAGACTGTCCAGAATCAGGGACCACAATTTAAGGATATGCAGGATATGGGTAGGCCATTTTGGACCGAGAAGGACTTTTTGCACTTTTTGAGAGGTGGGCCTGTGGAACACACTGCCACAGAAAGCTGTTGAGGCCAAAACATTGAATGTTTTCAAAGAGGAGTTAGATACAGTTCTTAGTGCTAAAGGGATGAAAGGGTATGGGGAGTAAGTAGGAACAGGACACTGCATCGGATGATCAGCCATGATCATATTGAATGATACAGCAGGGCTAAACAGCCAAATGGCTACTCCTCCTATTTTCTATGTTTCATTTCCTTGGCATTTAGAATGATAGCAATATTTTCGATATATCCAGGGGTTGTGACAAGGAACCTCTTTTGTCTAGGGCTTATTTCTACTGTGTCGCTCAGTCTTTTGGCCATAACTTTTGTGGAGAGATGAAGTAACATTGGGAGGGATGCCAGTTATCTATGTTTTTCAGAAGATCTGGGTTTTCAGATTTGGGTGTGAGGATTATTCAACTGTAAAAACACTTGGAATTATTTTAGATTTCAGACAAAAAGAGAAGGAGCAATAGACTTGAGAGGTATCTGTCTTGTGGATATACAGGTTTTCAAAAGCACACCCCATCTGAATCTGCTACACCATTTCCACCAATCCCTTTAATGGTTAACGTCACTTATCCTCCCTCTATTGGCTTCATTTGTG